ATGTTCTTACGTACTACTGAAACTAATCTAACTTAACCTAGTCGCAGCCACACAATTTTTCTTATCTATTTTTACCTATTTTTACCTATGTGTGTGTGGGTCATGTCCTTTATTATTTTACACATTATCATATGCGACAGTGCACAAGATCACTGAATTCTACACATGTGATATTTCATCGCAGCTGGGAAACTGATATTTTGGAATCTTCATTTTTAATTGTTAGAATTTTCCAGCGCCTCAACCGCACTCAAAAGTATCTACAAAGTATTTTGTACACCCTCCCCCCATATGGCGTTACTTCCTGATTTTCGGTAATTTGAACCAATTTTGATCCGAATCATGTGTAACATGACATTTTTAATTCTGAGTACGTATAATCTCTTCAAGCTAAAATATTTCAAGATTGCTTTAGTATTTGGTATAGGTCCCATATTACTAATAATTTTACAAATTTTTACTAATTTCGGGCATTTTGAAAGTTTCGAACAAAATTCTAGACCCAATCATAAGTAATTGACATTTTGAGATCTGAGGTGACAGAATCTCACCCTTCTAAATTTTGTGAAGGTAGGTTCACCATTATATATTAACCATTTATAACGGCACTCCCAAATTTAAGATAATTTGGAAATCTTTGCCTGCAAAATTTTTGTCTATTATATAGAGTTAGATGAAAAAACTGCAACTAACTTCAGACTGCTGTCATTTGTAAGCCGACAGCTGTTAAAATTATTCCAGTGACAGCTTATTATATTGTTTACAAGCGTACAAAAGCATTTCGGTGAGAATTGTCCAGAAAAAAAGTTATTCGTGATCGAATTCAAGCGTAATAGTGTGATTTCTTTATATTTGGCTGGAAAACCACAAGTGGCTATAGTTAGAGCACTCCAGCATTTAAATGAGAATAAGTCTTTTGTGTCTTGCGCCATCGCTCGTTACCGTGATACTGGAAGCGCAGCCCGACGTCAAGGAAATGGACGGAAGAAAACAGCAACATCAGCCGAAATGGTTCGAAAAGTAAAGAAGCGACTTGATGGAACACCGCGTCTCAGTGGCCGAAAAATGGCTCGTGAGCTGAACATATAGCAATATTCCATTCGGCAAATATTGCTCTGGGTAAAGCCATTGAAATTCCAAAAAGGTGCAAGAACTTACATCGCAACAGAAAGAAAATAGACTCAAAAGAGCTAAAGTGTTGCTTCGCTGGGCCGAAAGTGGTGAACTGCCGATTTTGGTTTTCACCGATTAGAAAACATTCGTTCCGGAGATACCAATCCATTGGACTATTGTGTCTTGAGTATTTTGTAAAGCAAGGTTGGCACTAAAAAATACCAAAGGGTCGATCACCTCAAGCAAGCGCTTCACCGGGAATGGGCCAAAATTTTGGCAGCGTGTGACGGTTTCATTGGCCGTTTGAAGGCAATAATTCGTGCCATAGGTGACAAATTCGAACAAATCTAAACTTTTTCTAAAATTTGAAGCTATTTCCATCATTTTTTGATTTCATTCAATAAAATGTAAAAAAAGAAATGTAAAAATTATGGCGCTTGACTTTGTTGCAGTTTTTTTATCTCACCCTGTATATAGGCCCAATATAATGATACTTCCTAATTTTTGGTATTATACAGAGTTTTTTACAAACTTTTTATTTGGTATTTTGTTTTTCAGCGGATACAAACTACGAAAATTGCCATTTTTTGAATTGAAACCACCTACAATGTAGGTTTTTGCAGGGGCCAATGGGATTAGATCCCCAAAATCAGAAATACATTCAAAGGAGACGTTGCTCCTATTTATAACATTCTTCTTCATACCCTCAGCCATATGGTTACAGAGGGTATATATCATTTGATACGGTCCAAACGTGCCTCATCGAAATAACGGTTTTAGACCAAAGGTCTCTTAGGTCCAAATCCGTTTCAGGACATTTGGAGTCGATCTATCGATGTCCGTCCGTCCGTCAGTCTGTCTGGCTGGTGCGCACGTTAACTCTCGAATGGGAGTATCCGATTTCCAAAAAACCTTTTCATTGTAATATTTTTGTCAAACATAGATCGAGTTCGGAAATGGGCAACACCGGTCCACTCCTTCTGGTACCTCTCCCACAAAAGGACAAAATTTTCATAGAAAATAATTTTCCACATAGGAAGAGAACCGCAAAATCGGGTGCTTGAATGGACAAGATCGGAGTACTTCTTCTACTACCTCCCCCGCAAAGGGTGCAAATTTTGAATAGCCAAAATGCACATAAAAAGCGAAATGGGTAAACATTTGGAATATCTAAAACGATGCAATTTTTTATATAGATCAAAACCTCAAAAGAGTTTCGGATTCGGATTTTCGGATGGACCACAAAATTTTCTATAGGATCATATACAAATGAATTTCAATATTTTGTTATAAATTTCGCAACATTTGGTATTTGACGTAGGTAGGAAATAGATCTATTGATCTATTATCTATTCAAACTTTGGATTTTATCTCCAAATGCATTTTATTAATCTACAAAGAAAATCAAATTATTGCAAACGTTTTTATGAACATTCTATGACTCAACTAAAACCATTAACGAACTTCATCATGTATAAAAAAATGTAATCCTCTTTCATAAAAACCTAACTATAGCTCTTGGTCACAACCATTTACAACCATACAGGGTGAGACAAAAAAACTGCAACAAAGTCAAACGCTATAATTTTTACATTTTTTTTTTAAATTTTATTGAATGAAAACAAAAATTTCGGATACAGATAGATTTATTCGAATTCGTCACCTTTGGCACGAATTATGACCTTCAAACCGCCATTGAAACCGTCACACGCTGCCCGAATGTTGCTCTGCGATATTTTGGCCCATTCCCGGCGAAACGCTTTGTATTTTTTAGTGCTTGCTTTCCAAAATACTCCAGACACAATAGATTGGTATCCGGAGATACCAATGCAACGAAAAACAAAAGTTTTATTCACACTTAAATTCTGTAGTATTCTAACTATAGCCACTTGTGGTTTTCCGGCCAAATATAAAGAAATCACACTATCACCCTTGAATTTCATCACAAATTACTTTTTTTCTGGAAAATTCTCACAAAATGCTTTTGTACGCTTGTAAACAATATAATAAGATGTCACTGGAATAATTTTAACAGCTACCGGATGAGTGGCTTAGAAATGACAGCAGTTTGAAGTTGGTTGCAATTTTTTCATCTCACCCTGTAGTCTGAATATCGCTTTTATGACATTTTTTTACAACGTAAATCTACGACGTTTATTAATTGACGAGATTAAGTCTACCCAAGTACCACACAAATAGCAATAAAAACCATTCCCAATCAAAAACTCGATTCAGTTTAATTCCGCTGTTATAAACTGCAGTCTTCTTGATGGAAAGCATCATAGTTTTCATTTTATTGATATTTTTTATCGCAGTCGAGTCTCGTGAGTTTGAATTTTTTGATTTTGTTTCCGTCGCATAATTTAATGGAAAGTCATAAAATATTAATTGTACAGAAGACGATGAAGAATCGCCGTGTCGTACACCGCTCGACGAACATGGACTTTGTGTTCCCTATACCCAGTGTTCTTTTCTTTATGAATGGTATAGGAAATATAATGGAACATTGCCACAAAGTTTGCAGGAGTATTTGTATCAAGCAAAATGTTCCAGTGACCAGGAAACGATTGTGAGTATAGCAAAAAACATAGTTTTTGTTGTGGAGAGAAAGATTATCAACGGATTACCAGATACCAAAATAATACAGACAATTTGGTATAGAAATCTTATATAGTCTCAAGTGTGTAAAAATAAAGGCGATACTCTCAAACGTAATGAGATAGGGGCGGAACCTAACCTAAATTGAATCCGTGGAGTTTTTGTTATTTGTATTACACACATTTTTTTTTAATTTTTATACAAAAAGAACGAATACAGGGTGAGATAAAAAATGCAAAGAAATCAAACGCCATATTTTTCATTTTATTGAATGAAAGAAAAAAATTCGGAAATAGCATCAAATTTTAGAATAAGTTTAGATTTGTTCTAATTGGTCACCCTTGGCACGAATTATGGCCTTCAAACGGCCAATGAAACCTTTAAACGCTGCCCGAATGTTGCTCTGCGGTATTTTGACCCATTCCGTGCGAACCACTTGCTTGGGGTGATCGAGTCTTTGCTATTTTTTAGTGCAAACCTTGTTTTCCAAAATACTCCAGACACAAAAGTCTAACGGATAGGTATCTGGAGATTTTCGTGGCCATTGTGCGCTGGAAATGAAGCGAGGAACCTCATTTTATAACCATTCTTGGGTGATGCGTGCTGAGTACAATGGTGATGAGTTGGAAAGTCCAAGGTCTGCAAAATGTTTGCGTGCTCAAGGCTTTAATATACCCTCCAGAATATTTTCGCGATAAATTCGGTATTTATTCTATTCTATTATATTTCTTCTATTCGACCATCGGCTGTTATGGCGGCTCACACCATTACCATGGCGGACAATTGAGTTCTAGTGGCCAACCGAAGGTGCAAATTTTGGCAAGTAAACACGATCATTTTGTTTCTTTACAACCTGCTGAACAATGAATGTTTTCTCATCGGAGAAAACCAAATTCGGAAGTTCACAACTTTCGGCCAAGCGAAGCAACTCTTTAGCTCTTTGGATGCGGTGTAAGTTCTTGCACTTCTGAATTTCAATGGCTTTACCCCGAGCTCATTTTTCAATATTTGCCGAATGGAATATTGCGATATGTTCAGCTCACGAGCAATTTTTCGGCCACTGCGACGCGGGTATCGATCAAGTCGCTTCTTTACTTTTCGAACAATTTCTGATGATGTTGCTGCTTTCTTTCAAAATGCTTTTGAACGCTTGTAAACAATATAATGAGATGTCACTGGAATAATTTTAACAGCTGTCGGACGAGTTGGTTGCATTTTTTATCTCACCCTGTACACTAGTTTTCATGGTAAATGTTATAACAAATCCTTATTTTTTTCAATTTTTCTAGGTACGCCTTTGTTGCGAACCTGATACGATTCTGAGACCCACAACAGCAACAACTCAACCGAGTACGGGAAGTATCAATTATTTATCATTAAATACCATGCAAGATTATCAAAGTCAATTGAATGCGGCAGGTATTTACATATAACTTCATTATATTAAATAATATTATGCGTAACTAATCTTCTCAAATATCTTCCGATTGCAGGCTTTAATATTCTTAATGGACAGCGCTGTGGTACAGACAATGGAAATCGCATTGCCGGTGGTAATGTCACAATGTTGGCCGAATTTCCATGGATGGCTCTGTTGAAATATCGTGGTCCATCGGGTGATCAATTTCGTTGTGGTGGTTCGTTGATAACCAATCGTTATGTGCTGACAGCAGCACATTGTGTGAACACAGTGGATCCAGTGTAAGTGTTAAATTAAAACAAAGAAACAATTGAGACCATCAGTTTATGCGACAATGCCTTGTAGAATTTGGCGGGGTATTTCAAATCGCCTTTAAAATCGTAAACAAAAACCAGTAAAGAAAGTCCTAAAGTCGGGGGAGGCCGACTTTATGACACCCTACACCACTTTGCTAATTTAGTAGAGTTCCGCATAACAATTAAAAGTTTTTTTTTATGGGAGAATTCAATAATACACGCTATGATTAGAATTATAATTTAAAGTTCAAAAGACTAAATATGCCGAAGCATTTGTATCTTTTAAATTCGGACTTGTATTGCCCATTTGATATCTATGGGAGCTATATCCAAATCTGAATTGATCTCGATAAAATTTGGCAAAGATATTTCTGAGCTGTATTTGATATATTTCCCTGAATATTTTTTTTACGGAGTGCATATTACGGCTGTGGGTAACAAATATAAAAAATCGGATGAAGATCTTCACCAAAATTTGACATACTAGCTTCTAGACTCAATTCGGTCGTAAGTGCCAAATTCCATCCCATTTGGAAAAATATTAGACGTTTGGTACACAATGATACGTAAATCGGTCGAAGTTTTATATGGGAGCTATATCCAAATCTGAACCGATCTCGACAAAATTTGGCATACTTATTTTCAGGCCTAATTTGACTGTTTGTGCAAAATTTCATACTATTCGGGCTGATATTACACGTTTGGTACACAATAAAAAGCAAATCGGACGAAGATATATATGGGACCTATCTAAATTTTGACCGATTATCTCCAATTTGATTAGGGTTCGTCCTTGGGCCAAACAAATGTTGTTCGGAAAACTTCATCTCAATCGGATAATAAATGCGACCTGCATTTTGTTCACAAGAATACATGGACGGACGGACAGATGGACGGACATGCATAAATCGACCCGGAATGTGATTCTATGCAGATCATCAAAAGGAACTTAGGTCTATCTCGTTTCCTTTTGCCTGTTACAAACAAATGCACAAAGACATAATATTCTGACCACCTTGTGGTGTAGGGTATAAAGATACATTGTGAGTCAACATTTTTTTTTTTTTTTTTGTAAATTAAGGTTCGGTCTTAGAATTGAAATTAATTCCTGAACGCCGGGTTTATTTAGTCATAAATGTATGTGCATGCGTATGTAATGACGGCTAATGAAATTACCTTGGAATTTCAAATATTCCGAACAAACATGCCAATATCAAGTGGCTAAATATAAAAAATGTATTTTGGAAATTCCGATTTTAAGAATATTTCTGAACCACAAAGAAATCCCTAAAAATTGGATTTTTTTTCTTACTTTGATGCGTCATCGTTAAGGTGAGTGAGTGAGCACACCTTTTTCATTCGGCCTCTTAATGAATGAGAATGAATGAATATGAACGGATTTTAAGAATTTGCAAGTAATAAAGACATTAATATTTCAGTTTTTTTCTTAATGATGTTTATCGTTTCAGACTACCTGTCAAATTGTTTAGACAAATTAAACAGAACATTTTATTATTTTTTACAAGGGGTTTTTATTTACATTTCGGATTTATCAATAAAAAAAAAACTTAAGAAATCAACAGGTGACGTGACGTTTATTTTTTATGGCAACGTTAAACTTCATCTTAAATTTCTGATATCTCATATGAAACTTCGTATGTTAAAATATTTGTATCAGACTAAGATCACGTACGACACTATAGAATCTCCCTTTATGCTGTAAAGGGTAAATAGTTTCAATTATTATAACCACAAAATCTTAAAAAAAAAGTATGAAAACAGGCCCGGCTGAACTTTTAATACCCTCCACCATTTTGAAGGTACTTGAAATTTTTCAATAAATCCGTAGAAAACTGGTAAGAGTAGGTCAAAAGTCAGACCGACTATATGACACCCTACACCACTATGTGGATTTAGTAAATTTAGCAGATACGTTCGGCTGTGTCGAATATTTTTCAAAAAAAAAAAATAATAATAATAATAAATAAATAAATAAAAAATAAATCCGTGGAAAACCGGTAAGAGTAGGTCAAAAGTCGGACCGACTATGTGACACCCTACACCTCTATGTGGACGTAGTAAATTTAGCAGGTAGGTTCGACTGTCTCAAATGATACCTTCTACGATTTTGAAGGTAAATGATAATTAAAATAACAAAAATCCGTAGGAACCCGGTTAGAAAAGGTCAAATATCGGACGGGCCGAATTTATGACACCCTACACCACAATTTAGTAAATTCGGTTGAAAAATCTGAACCGATCTCGATAAAATTAGGCAGAAGTATTTTCGAGCAGTATTTGATGTCAAGAATCAAAGATCATTGTTGTGAAGTGCATAATACCCATGTGAGGGACTTTAACACTAAATCGGATGAAACATATGTATGGGAGCTATAGCTATATTTGAACCGAGTTCAGTCGGAATGGCCAAAATTCAGTTCATTTGGACATATATTAGACATTTGGTGCACAATATATCTGAAATCGGATAAAGATATATATGGCAGCTATATTCAAATCCTAACCGATCTTCACAAAATTTGAAATACTTATTTCAGAGCTGTATCTGATATCTGGTACCATAGATCATTGTTGTGGAGTGAAAATTACACATGTGAGGGACTTAAACAAAAAATCGGATGAAACATATATATGCTATAGCTATAGCTATATCTGAACCGATTTTCACCAAAAAATTTGGACTTGCTTCTAGGCTGAATTCGGTCGGAATTGCCACCCCTAATATGTATACTATACGAAGACGTGGTTCTTCATAAGTAATTTTTTTGTCCTTGGCTGTAGTACCTACTACGAACTTTAAATACAAAAATTTTAATAATTCCAATGAATAATGACGCTAATATCAGCAAAATACCTAATATCGAGAGGTATCCTTGTACGGGGGCTATACGAAGACGTGGACCTGCATAGACAATTTTTTGTCATAGGTTGTAGTACCCATTGAGAACTTCAACTACGAAATTTGAAACAATTCCGGTGAATAATGGCGCTAAAATAATGAAAATACCAAATAACGGAAGGTATCGTTATATGAAGCCTATATGAAAACGGGAAACTGCATACTCAATTTTTTGTTATGGGCTGTAGTACCCATTACGAATTTCAGATACAAAATTTGAAATGATTGTGGTGAATAATGTCGCTAAAATTATCAAAATAACGAATATCGGGAGGTTTTGTTATATGAGGGCTACATGAAAACGTTGACCGGCTTGGCACATTTACGAACTTAACCTGCCTTCTGGCAAAATACAAATATGTGCTAAATTGTAGCCTCCTGTCCCAATTCGTTCCAAAGATAGCGTGATTACAACAGACAGACGGACATCGCTAACTCGACTTCGAATATTACGCTGGTCACGAATATATATACTTTGTTGGGCCTGACATTAGTATTTCGAGGAGTTACAACCGGAATGACAAATTAAGATACCCTAAATAGTACGGTGGAGGTTAAAAAATATTCTACTATTTAATCTTGAGCTGTCAAATTTGTCACAAAAGTTTATATTATATGCAGGCTGATTGGTATCGAAAATGGTGTATATTGGTCCACATTTAGGTATAGCACCCATATAACGGTATCTCCCGATTTTCGGTATTTTGAAAGTTTCTGCTACAGTTTTCAACCAAATTAGATGTAACTTGACAATTGGGGTTCTCGGTAGGTCTATATTCACCCTTCTGGAAATATTTGACGTAGGTCCACTAATTTGTTAACCCCCTATAATGGCACCTGCCGATATTTGGTCTTTCGAAGGTTTCTGTCACAATTTCCAACCACCATCAAGTTAAATTTAATAATCGAGGTTCTCAGTAGGTCTGTTCTCTCCTTGCCAAAAATGTTCGATTCAGGTCCACAAATTGGTATAGCCTCCGTGCCTCGCGATTTTCGGTATTTTGAAGGTTTTTGCCACATTTTTCAACCAAGTTACATAAAACTTGGCAGTTAGAGTTCTTGGTATGCCCATTCTTTCCTTGCAAAGAATGTTTGATTAAGATCCACTAATTGGTATAGCCCCTACATAACGATACTTCCCGATTTTCGGTATTGTGAATATTTTTGCCACAAATAACAACCAAATTCGATGAAACTTCACATTTGGGGTTCTCGGTAGATCTGTTCTCTCCCTGCGAAAAATGTTCGATTCAGGTCCACTAATTGTTATAGCTATCATATAACGGTACCTCTCGATTATCGGCATTTTGAAGTTTTCTGCCATAATTTCCAACCAAATCATCTGATACTTGGCATTTGGGGTTCTTGAAAGTTTTGTTCCTTCTCTGCAAAAAATTTTAAATTCAGGTCCCCTAATTGGTATAGCCCCTATATAACGGTGCCTTCTGATTTTCGGTATTTTGAAGGTTTTCTTCAAAAATTTCCAACCAAATCAGCTGAAACTTTAGAATTGGGGTTCCTGGTAGATCTGTTCTCTCTATGCAAAAAAATCCGTCACAGATTCATATATTGGTATGGCTCCCCTATAACAGTACCTCCCGATTTTTGTATTTCAAAGGTTTCTACCACAATTTCCAACCAAATTAGAAAAAACTTAACATTTGGGGTTCTTGAAGGGTCTGTTCCCTGCTTGCGAAAAATGTTCGATTCAGGCTCACTAATTGGTGTAGCCCCCCTATAACGGTACTTCCCGATTTTCGGTATTTTGAAGCCGTCTGCCATAATTTCCAACCAAATCGGCTGAAACTTGACATTTGGTGTTCTCTCTGTTATCTCCTTCGATCTGTTTTTCGATACAGTTTTTCGGTATTTCAAAGGTTTCTGCATTAATTTCCAACCAAATTAGATGAAACTTGACTGTTGGGGTTCTCGATAGGTCTGTTCTCTCTTTACCAAAATTATTTGATTCGGGTCCACTAATTGGTATATCCGCCGTATTACGTCACCTCCCGATTTTCGGTATTTTGAAGGTTTCTGCCCAAAACCCCACCAAATTAGATAAATCTTGACAATTGAGTTTCTCGGTAGGTCCGCTCTATCCTGAATACGTTATTTCTTTTGTCGAAAATGTCAAATAAATGTCCACGTATAACATCCTCACTTGTTTCTCGAATATTTTCTTTCACAGTATTGGTGTACGCCTGGGCGAATATGATACATCAACAGAAGAGGATTGTATAAAATTGGGTCCAAGGTGGAGATGCAATCCCCCAGTGGAAGATATTGGTATAGAAAATATTGTAGCACATCCCGAATATAGCAAAAGTAAACATGTCAATGATATTTCCCTCATCAAGTTGGATCGAAATGTTGAATTCAAGAGTAAGTGAGAATTTGTCCCCTTTTTAGCTCAATATTTTATTTATATTTCATATTTTCCCACAGAACACATTGAACCCATATGTCTACCCATCTTTTCAAATTCTGTTCAAACTCAGCCTGAAGATCATTTTCTAATAGCTGGTTGGGGATTCACTGAAAAGGGTAAGTACGAAATATTAAAAATATGGTTCTGAAATATTATAAAATATTGAATTAATTTTTACATATCCTACAGGCAGTACATCAAATGTTCTACTCAAAGCCCCCGTCAAACAGTTACCCGTATCGACATGCAGTCAAGAGTATTCGATTGAACTCAGTTTAACCCGACACTTGTGTGCCGGCGACGATGTACTCGGTCGTGATACATGCGGTGGTGACAGTGGTGGACCATTGATACAATTTGTCCCCTACAATGGTAAAAGACGTTTCGTACAGTACGGAGTGGTGGCATCGGGTCGTTATGCTTGTATCCTGAAAACAACATTGCCTGGTGTCTATACGAATGTTAGCAATTTTATGCCATGGATAACGCACAATATTGTTGTGTAAAATTTGGATTAATATAGTTTCTATTGATGATCGAATATTTTAAGGTATTAAATGTAAGAAAATAAATTTAAATGAAATAAAATTAAAACAAGTTAGAAAAATTCTTTTGGTTTGACGGGCTATATATACCCTGAGCCTATGGCCATATATCTTATCTATTTTTTGAAGTCTACAGTTTTTGGCAAAAAAGTCCTTAATAAATATATTTATATAAAACCAGTAAAGAAAGTCCTAAAGTCAGGCGGGTCGACTTTATGATACTCTACACCACTTTGCTAATTTAGTAGAGCTCCACATAACAATTAAAAGTTTTTATGGGAGAATTCAATCATACATGCTATGATTATAATTATTATTTAAAGTTCAAATGACTAAATATGCCGAAGCATTTTGTATCTTTTAAATTCGGACTTGTATTGTCCATTTGGTCCAAAATTAATTTGAAATCAGATGAAGATATATATGGGCGCTATATCCAAATCTGAAACGATCTTCACAAAATTTGGCAAAGATATTTCTGAGCTGTATTTGATATATTTCCCTGAATATCATTGTTACGGAGTGTATATTACGGCTGTGGGTAACAAATCGGATAAACAACATATATGGGAGCTATATCTATATCTGAACCGATCTTCACCATATTTGGCATGCTAGCTTCTAAATTCAATTCGGTCGCAGGTGCCAAATTCTATCCCATCTATCCCAAATCTATGTTTCTGAATTATAAAAAATTGAAATAGTTTACCCAGAAAACCTTCAAAAATTCACGTTTATTAATAAGAAACCGAGCCACGAGCCCAATTTCATATTTTTTAAATTTTTTCCCTACATTCCTCTAATTTTCAGAATTCCAGTTCTATCGGTTTAGCCAAACCGAAATTGTAGCAAATTTAGTACCATTTAGTAGTTTTCGTGCATATAAGTACAAATTTCGAGAACTTCTTCCATATTCCAATCATACACTTCGCCAGTAATGTAAAATTTAAATTTCAGGAATCCAGCTCCACCAGTTCCTCCAAATTCAATTTATTACCGTTTAGTACTTTTCGTCACACTGCTAAAAATTACCTCTTTGCATCGACCTTAAAGGGTGAGATTAAAAAACTGAAACCAAAAAACTAAAACCAACAGACTGCTGTAATTTTTAAGTCACTCTGTTAAAATTATTCTAGTGACAGCGATTGAACGAAAGCCGTGTCGCAGTGGCCGAAGAATGGCTCATAAGCTGAACATATCGTAATATTCCATTCGGCAAATATTGAAAAATGAGCTCAGGGTAAATCCATTGAAATTCCAAAAAGTGCAAGAACTTACACAGCATCAAAAATAGAAAGAAAATGGACTCAAAAGAGCTAAAGAGTTGTTTCGCTTGGCCGAAAGTGGTGAACTGTCGGTTTTGGTTCTCTCTGATGAGGAAACATTCGTTGTGCAGCAGTTTGTAAACAAACAAAATGATCGTGTTTACTTGCCAAAGAGGTCAGCTGAAAATGAGCACGTTCGGTTGGCCACCAGAACTCAAGCGCCGGCCATGGTGATGGTGTGGGCATCCGACCATGGCATCAGAATAAATGCGAAAACATTCTGAAGGGTGTATTGAAACCTTGGGCAAGCAAACATTTTGGCCGCAGATCTTGGACATTCCAACAGGAATGGTTACAATATGAGGTTCCTCGCTTCATTTCCAGCGAACAATGACCACCAAAATCTCCGGATACCAATCCGTTGGACTATTGTGTCTGGAGTATTTTGGGAAGCAAGGTTGGCACTAAAAAATACCAAAGTGTCGATCACCTCAAGCAAGCGCTTCGCAGGGACTGGGCCATAGACCGCAGAGCAACATTTGGGCAGCGTGTGACGGTATCATTGGTCTTTTGAAGGCTATAATTCGCTCCAAAGGTGACCAATTCGAACAAATCTAAACTTATTTTAAAATGTGATGCTATTTCCGACATATTTTAAACTTATTCAATAAAATTTAAAAAACAATTAAAGATTATGGCTTTTGACTTTGTTGCAGTTTTTTTTTTATCTCAATCTGTATATGGATGCCACACCGAAACGTGGATCGATCTGTCCCATTTTTAATACCAAGTATACAAGGGGTAATATAAATGTCTGAATATAAATGTCTAAACAAAATTTCAAAGCGGAAGAATACTTTCCTGAATTCATCTCCGTTTTTGAGAATTTTGTACTTAAGACCCTTGTAGTAGAAAATTGTTGTTGATATGACTCCCATACAACGGTTTCACCCAATTTATTGTATTTTGAAAACTTTAAATGTATTCTGCAACCGATATCACATGTTAAAGTGGAACACCCAATACTTATTTTACTTTATTCTCTTCATTTTAAAAAGTAGCTTTGCTTAATAGTGTGGAGTATTAAACGTGATGTTTTTTGTTTCGTTTTTAATATTTTTACGATTTTGCAAGTTATATAAACCTTGGTTCGTTACATTTAAAATATATATTTCAAGGATATTAAAGGATTTTCTGTAGATTTTCAAAAATGTCTATCACGGACTTCCCTTCTATAAAAAGTGTGAATTTTTCAAAATATCCTTTAATAACTTCCCGCCGAAAATAGTCTTTCCTGGCAATAAATCGTGCATTTTTCAAGAATTTTCTTTTAAAGACCTTATGCCGAAATTTTTTTGATGTTGTTAAAATATTGTCAGTGAGCAGCCCCAAAAAAAGGTTTTTTTTAAAGACCTGATCGTGGATTATTATTGTTTGAATAATTTTTTATTTCCAAAAATTGATAATTTCGCCGATTTTATTTTCGAGGACTTTAAATCAATAAATTTTAAGTCTTACCAGAACCTGTTGACAAAAAATTGTGGTTTTTCTAAAAAAAACAAAAATACTGAAAATAATCATGCCTATTATGAAAAAAAACATAAGCAACGTAATTTTTCAGAACAATTAAGAAGCTGCCACTGTTTAAACAACTAAATTCCCTAAATAAAGCCCAATTAAAGCATGGAAAAACACTTTCCATATCTTATGTATATAGACACAATATTTCCACACAAATCTGTGACGTTTTAAAATCAACGAGAATAACATCAACCCACCACCTATATTATATACAGATTATAATAAAAGTCAAATTTCATCAAAAGCTCTGCTCAATTGGATTTAGTAGTTTCAACTCACAGTCGTCAAATGGGTTTTACCAGATATCTTATTTTATTAGTTATTTTTCTTATAGTTAAGGCTCGTAAGTATATTTGTATTTTTTTAATTTTGATTAAATTTGAACTAAAAATCGAATTTTTTATTGAACAGAAGAAGAATATAGACACTGTCTTACACCGCACAATGAAAGTGGACTTTGTGTTCCTTATACGGAGTGCTATATTCTACACGAATGGAATAAGAACTACGATGCATTGACGGTTTTTCGAGAATATCTACTTCGTGCAGATTGTACGGGAGAGCATGATAAAATTGTGAGTATTCCAATGAAGATGAAGCCAGGGGAACCTAATAACTCAGATAAAATGTGACTGAATTTGTCGGTTTTGTGAGGACATTTTTTGTTAAGTATTATTATATGAAGGATATGACAAAACCTGGGAGGTCTATCTACCTATCTATTAACTATCTATCTATCCAGCTACACACTATCTATCTACCATCCAACTAAAACAAAACTTAGTTACAACATTGGTATGAAGAGCTATTTTATATGATAATGGTTATACACGTCCAACTGAACCTTCAAACATGTAGGGATAGCCAAAGAGAAATGTGATTTTTTACAAGAGAGAAAGTTTGAGGGACAGGGCCTAATAAAGTGACATCTACATCTTTCAATTCCCTTCTTTAACATAAAACTGAAGTTTATCTTACTTTTGCAGAAATTTGCGTGTAATGTTCTCAATTTGCAAAAATACTGAGTCCATATAGTCAGGTACTTCTGTTTGTTGTAAAATTTCCTTAATTCCTTGAAAATTTCAATTGAAATATTGGGAGTAAATTGATTGTTGAAAATAAAACAAGGATTTTTATTTTTAACAAGTATCAGACGGTTTTGCCGATAGATGTACAGGGTGAGATAAAAAAACTGCAACAAAGTCAAGAGCCATAATTTTTAATTTTTTTTTTAAATGTTATTGAATGAGAGCAAAAAATGTCGGAAATAGCCTCAAATTTTAGAATAAGTTTAGATTTGTTCGAATCGATCAGCTTTGACACGAATTATGGCCTTCAAACGTTGCTCTGCGGTATTTTTGCTAATTCCCGGCGAAACGCTTGCTTTTGGTGATCGACACTTATTATTTTTTAGTGTCACCTTGCTTTCCAAAATACTCCAGACATAATAGTTCAACGGATTGTTATCCGAAGATTTTCGTGGCCATTTTGCGCTGGAAATGAAGCGAGGAACCTCATTTTGTATTCTTGGGTGGCGCGTGCTGAGTGCGATAGTGTTAAGTCCTGTTGGAATGTCTGCGTCCAAAATGTTTGCGTGCCCAAGGCTTTAGAAGAAGATTTTCGCGATAACATTTATTCGGATCCCACCGTCGATTAATACGAAGGGAGAGCGACTATCGGCTGTTATGGCGGCCCACGCTAACCGAAGGTACACATTTTCAGCTGACCACTTTGGCAAGTAAACACGATTGTTGTTGTTTGTTGTTTACAAACTGCTGGACAACGAATGTTTTCTCATCGGAGAAAACCAAAGTCGGCAGTTCAACACTTTCGGCCAAGCGAAGCAACTCTTTAGCTATTTTAAGTCTATTTTCTTTCTGTTGCGGTGTAAGTTCTTGAACTTTTTGGAATTTCAATGACTTTACCCCGAACTCATTTTTCAATATTTGCCGAATGGAATGTTGCGAAATGTTCAGCTCACGAGCTATTTTTCGGCCACTGCGACGCGGGTTTCGATCAAATCGATTCTTTACTTTTCGAACCATTTCTGTTGATGTTGCTGTTTTCTTCCGTCCACTTCCTTGACGTCGGGTTACGTTACCAGTATCACGGTAAAGAGCGATGGCACGAGACAAAAGATTTATTCACATTTAAATGCTGGAGTGCTCTAACGATAGCCACTTGTGGTTTTCCAGCCAAATATAAAGAAATCACACAATCACGCTTGAATTCTATGGCGAATAACTTTTTTTTCTGGACAATAATTTTAACAGCTGTCTGACGAGTGGCTTACAAATGACAGCAGTCTGAAGTCGATTGCAGTTTTTTCATCTCACCCTGTATACCCTCAGCCAATATTCGATAATTAAAATATATTTTGGCTTCTGTTATGATTATTAAAATTGTTGACCCTCTATGAAGTACGTTCGGAGGAAAGGGGCCAATTTTGTAAATTTCGTGTCGGAGCAAAATAAATATGATATAATTATTGCAACGTGCCAGTTTTGGACTATCTTGGCCACTTCGTTCACTTGATATGAGATGTGTGATAAATTGTAGAAAATATCCATATGGGTCCAGATATAGTCGACCGAATTATTCCATAAAAATATTGATATGGGCAAAATTACAAAAAAAAATCCAACTTTATGCGAATTATAAATTCCATATTCATCTCAGATTTCTCGTTGAGAGAAATATTTAGTACATACATACACCCTCTGTAGCCATATGGCTGAGGGTATAATAAACACTGCTTTCCAAAGAGCGTACAAGCCCCATCGAAGGAGAAATTAACAAATGTTTAATTTTTAAATAGCCTGTAACCAAACATGACCTATAAACATATATTTTTGAAAGTTCTGTATTAATTAATTCATTTAATTACTAATATGTGTATGAATTTTTTTCTTTATATATTTTATTTTTATTTATTTAATCATTTAGTTTAATTAATTCAATTTATTTCATTTACTCCCCGAACGATAATATTTAATTCTTGTCCCATTGGTGTTGTGAACCTGCAACTGTTTGGCGACCAACAACAGCAATAGTTAAACAAAGAATGCAAAATACCGAAAATTTATATTTAAATCCAATACCAGATTATCAAGGTCTATTAAACACCGCAGGTATTTTCTAATAAAATCGTCAATTCATACCCTATAAATAACCTGCATACTTAGGTTTTGATGTTCTATATCAACAAGAGTGCAGCCCCGACCCTGGAGATGCTATTATCAATGGCAATGTTACAAAGTTGGCCGAGTTCCCATGGATGGCCCTATTGAAATATGATGGACCAGTAGGTGAAGAATTTCATTGTGCTGGCTCGTTGATAACGAATCGCTTTGTATTGACAGCAGCCCATTGTGTGAATACGATGGATCCAATGTAAGTAAAAAGTGCAAGCAATATAAAAATTGGAGAAGTTTATTCAGACCTTAAATCAAGGTTGTTTGTGGAAAATTCCTTAATCAAATGTAATTGGTTATTCATTTCACAGCATTGGTGTACGACTTGGCGAACATGACATTTCAACCGTTGACGACTGCCTGCAATTGGGCGCCATTTTCAAATGCAATCCACCGGTGGAAGATTTTCGTATAGAAAATATCATTTCACATCCCGAGTATAGTAGAGAGGATCATATCAACGATATTGCCCTGATCAAATTGGATCGCAAGGTTCAATTTAAAGGTAAGTATTGGACTTCGAATACCATGTGAATATTCAATAAGAAGGTAAACATTTATTTATTTTTTATTCCCTTATGGTATGGAGCTTATATTAAGTTCGTCATTCCCTTTTTAACTCATCGAAATAATAATTTTAGACCTAAAAGAGTATATATTTTCTGGATCAGCGTCGACGACTTAATACTGTCTGTTCGTCTGTCCATTTGTTGTCATCACCTTAGAGTCAAAATAAATTAAGATAGGAACCTCCTGGAGGATCCATAGGTGATCTCTGGCTACAGCCCATTAAAGTAACCGAATTTCTAAACCTGGAGCTGGAACCAGATTAGCAGAACGCAAACACTTGTATGTACTACTGCTAAAACAACAACAACAAAAGATAGGAACCTAAATTTTGCACAAATTTGTCTGCAGGCAGGTCAAGTTCGAAGATGGTCTGTATCGGTCCACGATATCGTATAGCCTCCATGCAACAGTACCCCCGATATTCGGTATTTTGACGATTGTAGCCACATTTTCAATGGAAAATTCACACAAGAAGTTCTTTCTGAGTGCTTTACCCCCTGGAAGAGAATTATCTATATAGGTCCATGGTATGGTATGGCCCCCATACAACGGTACTTCCCGATTTTCGGTATTTTGATGATTTAAGCTACATTCTTCAGTGGAATTATCTGAATTTCTACACAAGGAGTTTTTTGTGGGTACATTACCCCCTAGAAGAGAATTGTCGGTATAGGTCTACGATATCGGATATCCCCCGTACAAGGGTACCTCCAATATTCGGTATGGAATTGTCTTAAAATTCAAAAAAGGAGTTCCTTTAGAATACATTACCCCCATGAAGAAAATTGCCCATATAAGTCCACGATATCGTATATCCCCCATATAACGGTTCCTCCCGATATTCGGTATTGTAGCCAAATTTTTCAATGGAGTAGCCTAAAAATCCGCATAAAGAATTTCTTCTGAGAACTTTCCCCCTGGAAGAGAATGGTCTATACAGGTCCTCGGTATCGTATAGCCACCATTTAACTGTAACCCCCGATATTCAATGTATGGAAATCCGCACAAGGCGTCACTTTTGAGTTTGATTTTAGCGATATTATTCACCGGAATTGTTTCAAATTTGGTATTTGAAGTTCATAATGGATACTACAGCCTATGACAGAAAAATGTCTGTACAGGTCCACGTCTGCGTATAGCCCCCATATAACGGTACCTCCCGATATTCTGTATTTTGATCATTTTAGCTATATTATTCACCGGAATCGTTTAAAATTTGGTATTTGAAGTTCGTAATGGATACTACAGCCTACGACAGAAAATTGCCTATGCAGGCCCACATCTTCGTATAGCCCTCATCTAACGGTACCTCCCGATATTCGGTATTATAATGATTTTAGCTGCACTATTCACCTTTTTTTTGTTAAGTTTCGCATTTGAATATTGTAATGGCTTATGACAAAAGTTACCTATGCAGGTCCATTTCGTCGTATAGACCCTAATGTAACAGCTGCATTCGGTATTTTAAAGATTTTAACAGAATTTTTAACGGATTTTATTTTTTTTTTGAGAATTGCCAAATTCATTACAAATGGTGGAGGGTATTCAAAGTTCGGCTCGGTCGAACTTACAGCTTTTTTACTTGTTTTTCAGTTAATAAATAAATATTTTTTATTTCACAGAGCACATTAAACCTATATGCTTGCCCATTCATTTGTATACACCGACTGAAGATAATTTTTTCATAACCGGTTGGGGTCACACTAAAAATGGTTTGTAAAAGAGTTTTTTTTTTGGTAACTTTCTAAAAATAAATATTCCCATTTTTACCACAGGCAATAAATCGGATATTCTTCTGAAAACACCAGTGAAACAACTACCTCTTTCGACATGCAGTGATAAATATTCTATTCAACTCAGCGATACTCGGCACTTATGTTTCGGAAAGGATATAGGTGGTCATAACGTATGCGCCGCAGATAGTGGTGGACCATTAATGCATTTTGGACCCTACAAAGGTCAAAAACGTTTCATACAATATGGGATAGTGGCAGCGGGAAGTAATGCTTGTAGCGCGACGGCAGCTTTGCCTGATATTTATACGAATGTTAGCTTCTTTATGCCATGGATAACGCATACTATTGCTCTGCAAAACGAGTGAATAACAAGGATATGATAAGACGAACCTTCCAAGGAATTATATGTTAAAAAAGTATAAAAAACGTAAAAATGTAAAAATAAAAAGTATTGATCTGTTCCGAAAACCTGAAATTTTTACGATATCATAAAAGAAAAGTCAATTATAGCTGTAAAAAAAATTTTACATTCTTGAATTTCTGGAACAGAGCATATGATATGGACTTAAACAATATATGTAACATTAAATATATGACAGATGGTAGTATAGGGTCATATAAAAAGTTACTTTATCGACAAAACTATCATCTAATTTTTTTTTATTTTTATTCTTGTATGACCATAAAAGTACTAATCCAACTTCGAAAATTTCTGTATTGACTCGCTGTATTGTAAGATAAAAGTTCCAAAAGATATGGCCATAGTTCATCCATGTCCGAGCTTAATATTAAAGACTCGGCATTCCGAAGGTCGAGACAAGCTAAGGTACTTTTATTTTCTTGTTTATTTGGCAACAACAACAAAAAAGTAAAGAAGCTGTAAGTTCGGCCGGACCGAACTTTGAATACCCTCCACCATTACAATATTCAAATGCGAAACTTAAAAAAAATCGGTTATAATGTCGATAAAATCAAAATACCGAATATCGATTGGTACCGTTATATGGGGGCCATACGAAGACATACGAATTTTCTGTCGTAGACTGTAGTATCCATTACGGATTTCAAATATCAAATTTGAAACAATTCTGGTGAAAAATGTCCCTAAAATCATTAAAATACCGAATATCGGGAGGTACCGTTATATGGGGGCTTTACGAAGAGGTGGAGCTGCAGAGACAATTTTCTGCCTTAGGCTGTAGTATCCATTACGAACTTTAAATACCAAATTTGAAACAATTCCTGTAAATAATGTCGCTAAAATCATCAAAATACCGAATATAGGGAGGTAACGTTATATGGGGGCTATACAAAGACGTGGACCTGTATAGACAATTTTGTGCCTTAGGCTGTTGTATCCATTACGGACTTCAAATATCAAATTTGAAACAATTCTGGTGGAAAATGTTCCTAAAATCATTAAAATACCGAATATAGGGAGGTACTGTTATATGGGGGCTATACGAAGACGTGGACTTGCACAGACAAATTTCTGTCTCAGGCTGTAGTATCTATTTCGAACGTCAAATGCCAAATTTGAAACAATTCCGGTGAATAGTGTCGCTAAAATCATCAAATCATCATCGGGAGGTACCGTTATATGGGGGCTATATGAAAACGTGGACCTACATGGCCCATTTACGAACTTAACCTGCCTACTGGCATAATAAACATGTGTGCAAAATTTTAGCCTTCTATCTCAATTCGTTCGAAAGATGTGAAGAAAGAGTGATTACAACAGACAGACGGACAAACAGAGAGACCGACGGACATGTCTTAGAATTTTACGCTGATCAAGAATATATATACTTTGTTGGGTCTAAGATCATTATTCCGATGAGTTACAAACGGAATGACAAAATGAATATACCCTCCATAGTATGGTGGAGGGTATAAAAAGTTTGTACAAAAATGCACGTACTTTGTTAAAGAAGAATGCAAAAGTATTATACTCTTAATATATATACTCTTATACTCTTAAGGTAGATTTCAAAAATAAAAGTCATTAAATATTGGCGATAGTCCAAAAATAAAGCAAATGATATCTAAAATAGTACTAATTAAAAAAGAATGTCAGTACAAGTGTGAGCTGTTTTTGTAACAAATACACCTTCGAACCTTCTCAGAGAATAACATTATGGACATTTATGGTCAAAATATTACGGAGAGAGAGCAACAGACAATATCCACAAAACGTAACACCCTCTTTATACAAATGTCCCTTTGATTTTGCGGTCTTAATGAGACACAATTAAAACTCACGTGTTACTATGAAATCAAGTCACCCGTATGGTTAATACAATAGAGAGCAATAGTTATTAACTCATGTTCGGGTAATACATTCAATTCCGTTATATATGTGTGGGTAGGACTTCATATTAAATTGACTGTCAACGACACATCACTTAGTTCTTTAGTAGCACTCTAAACTATTCGGCTTGTCAAGAAATAACAAATATCAGAAGAAAAGTCTATATAAGTCAAAGATATACCTTTTCCTCAATTGTATATAGCGCCAAATTAAATAACATTTTCTCCTACAAAAAATCGGCATATAGATTATTTGTGGCTAGGCACAATTTTAGCTTACAACTAGTTTAGTTGTTTTCTTTTCTGTAAATATGTACAGGGTGAGATGAAAAAACTGCAGCCAACTTCAGACTGCTATCATTTCTAAGCCACTCGTCCGACAGCTGTTAAAATTATTCCAGTGGGAGCTCATTATATTGCTTACAAGCGTACAAAAGCATTTTGGTGAGAATTTTCCAGAAAAAAAGTTATTCGTGATGGAATTCAAGCGTGATAGTGTGATTTCTTTATCGTTGGCTGGAAAACCACAAGTGGCTATCGTCTGCAAATATTGAAAAATGAGGTCGGGGTAAAGCCATTGGATGCCAAAAAAGTGCAAGAACTTACACTGCAACAGAAAGAAAATAGACTCAAAAGAGCTAAAGACTTTCTTCGCTTGGCGAACCGATGAGAAAACATTCCTTGTCCAGCAGTTTGTAAACAAACAAAATTATCGTGTTTACTTGCCAAGGAGGTCAGCTGAAAGTGTACACCTTCGGTTGTCTACCAGAACTCAAGCGCCGGCCATGGTGATGGTGTAGGCTGCCATAACAGCCAATGGTCGCTCTCCGCTCGTATAAATGGACCGTGATATCAGATAAATGCCGAATATTATCGCGAAAATATTCAGGAGGGTGTATTAAAGCCATGGGCACGCAAACGTATTGGCCGCAGAACTTGGGTATTCCAACAAAACTCTGCACTATCGCACTGAGCTCGCGTCTCCCAAGAATGGGTACAAAATGAGGTTCCTTGCTTCATTTCCAGCGCACAATGACCACCAAAATCTCCGGATACCAATCCATTGGATTATTGTGTCTGGAGTATTTTGGAAATCAGGGTAGGCACTAAAAAATATCAAAGTGTCGATCACCTCAAACAAGCGCTTGGTCGGGAATGGGCCAAAATACCGCAGAGCAACATTCGGGCAGTGTGTGTGTTTCATTGGCCGTTTGAAGGCCATAATTCGTGCCAAAGGTGACCAATTCGAACAAATCAAAACTTATTCTAAAATTTGATGGTATTTCCGAAATTTTTTTGCTTTCATTTAATAAAATTAAAAATAATGTAAAAATGATGGCGTTTGACTTTGTTACATTTTTTTATCTCACCCTGTATAAAGGCATTGTGGTACAGACTCAATTTGAAGTGGCGCCCAACTTAAATATTTCTTCCCGGAAAAAGTAGTGAATAAAAGTCCAAGTTTTTGTGTTAGACCCTACTTAAGGTAGCGTCCAATATAGATCCAGATCATCGTTAAGACGATAAGTTTAAGATGGCGCCCAATTGTAGTTAGCCGAAAATAGAGTCAATAAAGTTTATACAGTGGTTGAGACGAAATTCTAGATGGCACCCAATAGTTGCTACCTTTTTCATCTTACGAAAAAAAACAGTGTAATAATCACGTTTTGTTTTAATCCAATTTAAGATGGCGCCCAATTTTACTTAACTTTTATACATTCCCGAAAATAGGGTCAATAAAGTTCGTGTAATGGTTAAGAGCCAATTTTAGATGACAACTAATTGTAGCAACCTTTTTCGAAAAAAAAAAATCTGTATAAAAATTATTTTTTAAATTGCAATTGGAGATGGCGCCCAATTCAAGTTATTATTATACGTTCTGGAAAATATAGTCTAAACCATGTTATGGCTTACCCAATTTCAGATGACACTCAATTTCCGCAAACTATTCTGTTTTTCGAAAAAATGTCACCATAAAAATTACCGTGTGTTTTTAAACCAAATGAAGATGGCGCCCAATATAAGTTATTGTTTCACATCCTGGACAATTCTTCAGATGTTCTTTAATTGTTCTTTAATGAAAAAAGTAATAACGCTGTTGTAAATCCTAGTTATGGTAATGCCTCAATTATAAATGGCGCCCAATATGGATACAAGTTATGGTTTAGACCCAATTTCAGATTTCACCCACATGCGTTTACTTTTGCGAATGTATAGTATAATTAAAGCCCAAACATAGATGGCGTCCGATTTTAGTAACCTGCTTGTATTTTCTCGTACGTTATGTTTTACATCCAATTTAAGATGGCCCCTAATTTTATTAACCTTAATTTCAATTACCTCAACTATCTAAAAAAATGAGTCAATAAAGTTCATGTAATGGTTTAGACCCAAATATAGGTGAAACCCAAATTTAGCAAATATATTCTTCATCGAAAAAATCTTCCTAGAAAAAATATTCAACATAGAGCCACGATTTTTTAAATTGCAATTGGAGATGGCGCCCAATTCAAGTTATTATTATACGTTCTGGAAAATATAGTCTAAACCATGTTATGGCTTACCCAATTTCAGATGACACTCAATTTCCGCAAACTATTCTGTTTTTCGAAAAAAATGTCACCATAAAAATTACCGTGTGTTTTTAAACCAAATGAAGATGGCGCCCAATATAAGTTATTGTTTCACATCCTGGACAATTCTTCAGATGTTCTTTAATTGTTCTTTAATGAAAAAAGTAATAACGCTGTTGTAAATCCTAGTTATGGTAATGCCTCAATTATAAATGGCGCCCAATATGGATACAAGTTATGGTTTAGACCCAATTTCAGATTTCACCCACATGCGTTTACTTTTGCGAATGTATAGTATAATTAAAGCCCAAACATAGATGGCGTCCGATTTTAGTAACCTGCTTGTATTTTCTCGTACGTTATGTTTTACATCCAATTTAAGATGGCCCCTAATTTTATTAACCTTAATTTCAATTACCTCAACTATCTAAAAAAATGAGTCAATAAAGTTCATGTAATGGTTTAGACCCAAATATAGGTGAAACCCAAATTTAGCAAATATATTCTTTATCGAAAAAATCTTCCTAGAAAAAATATTCAACATAGAGCCACGATATGGTTTAGATTTAAATTATATACAACCTAACATTTTTGCTTCCTTAGAAAAATAGTTTTGTAAGTCCACGTTGTTGTTTATGTCTAGGTTTTGATTAGGTCTTGAATAAAGATCCACGTTTTGATTTCAGCACATTATAAGATGCCACACAAAAGAGCTTCACTTTTTTTGATAAATAATGTGACTGAGACCCAAATGTAGATGGCGCCCAATTCTGAGTATCATATTTATGGGGGTAGTATAAGTTTGATTGTGACAAAAAGTTTGTAACACCTCGAAATATTGATCCTAGACCCATTATGTTAAATATCGATCTTCTGTCGACCTAGGCATGTGTGTCCGTCCGTCCGTCTGTCCATGTTCATTTGTAATCACGCTACAGGTCGCAATTAGTGTCCGATCCTCCCGAAATGTGGCCTGTAGTTAGGTTAAGCATCAGAATAGAAGCCAATTGTTCTTGAAAGAGATCGCTAAATATTTAGTGGGTGAAATGGACCAAAAACTATTTTTTCGCTGATTTTGCAATCGCTCTATAGGTCTCAATTATTGATAGTCGCGTAACTTTGCGTGGAGTTCGAGTTTACAGGCCACAAGTCTACCATTTTTTAGCGGGGTATAATATTTAGCGGGTGAAAAGGACCATAAATTTTGTGTGAAAAATTCCAATTGTGCCAATGTTTTTAATACTGAAAACCACTTTACGAAGAAATCACTAATATATAAAAGCGTCTCATCTGACTATTACTTTGATAGTCAGAAATCGGAGTCCAATCTTATGGTTTAGGTTTAATTATAAGTTGACGTTTTTGTCTTCCTAGAAAAATAATAAATATAGATTGTAGTTTATATCGAATTTTAGTTATTCTATGTTTTTTTCTTCTGAAAAATAGTCAATATAATCTTCTTTATGGTTATGTAGACTTAATTTCGAAAATCAATCTTTTTGTAATCTTGTCAACATTCAGCCCCTATAATTTAATTTTTCTATTATTTTAATTGACATAAATAGTTAATTGGCGTCTAATTTATTTTATCATTTTTTGTCCAAAGAAAAAATCAATATATTTCCACGTTTGGTGTAAATGGCGCCCAACATAGATCCTCATAATTTAATTTACCTGTTATTTTCCTTGATATAAGTAATCCTTGATATAAGGAAAGAAGTAAGACATATTGCTTTCCTTTAAAAAAAACACTATATTTCCAGGTTTGGTGTAGACCCATATTTAAATGGCGCCCAATTACTGAAACCAATCTTTATATTCCCGACCCATTTGTAGACCCATTATTATGCAACAAAAATTTACATACCCAATAGTGTAGGTTTATGTTTCTAATCCCTATCTTAAACGGCGCCCAAGTTTCTAATCCAATATTAAATGGCGCCCAAGATATTTGTTTACTTCCCTGGAACATTTATTGTACATCTTCTTTATATTGCGTCCAATTATAGTATTGTATCTTTAAATGTTGATGTTCATGTGTAAGTGGCGCCCAACATAGGTCCTCATAATTTAACTTACCTATTATTTTCCTTGATATAAGTAGTTATAACCTTACTGTTTTCCTTTAAAAAATCAATATATTTCCAGGTCTGTTGTAAACCCATATTTTAATGGCGCCCAATTACTGCAACCAATCTTTATATTTCCGACCCATTTTTAAATGGCTCCCAAATTTTGCAACCAAACTCCCTACATTAAATGGCGGCCAAGTTTCTTATCCAATAATAAATGGCTTTGAAATAGTATAAATGTTTTATAAATGAATTTTCCTTAGGGAAAAGAAATACTTCAGGCAAGTCCAATCGAACTTAATATTGGCTCAACTTTTATAAAAAAAAAACTACTACTAAAAAATACTGAAATAATTAATTCCTAATAGAAATCATAAAACATGCGTGTGAAATACTCATTACAATTTGTATAGCTCCTTTTACCAGTGGGTAATCCGTAATTTCCCTAAATTTCTCATTATTGTGTTTTTGTGTTCCTGACCTAATAACGTTTTTGTTGTGGTAAGCGGTTCGTTGACATTTGTATGTACATTTTTTGGACAACTACTGAAAACCAAAACATGGATACCAAAAAAACAGTTGTGGAAATCAATTAAAACATTTGTTGAGCGAACGCTGGCGGAAAATGTCCTGGAAGGAAAAACTAAAAATTGTACCAAAAATGTAAGAAAACTCCATAAAAATAAAAAAATAAACTAATACTTACTAACCCTGGAATATAGTGTTTTCTATATTACATTTGTGGGAATTGCAATGCCAATGTATTTAAATATCAGCACCGGATTATTGAATAATTTCCAAACAACAAAAATCTCTTTTAATTTGGATACTCTGTTGTAAGTACATATGTGTGTGTATGTGGAAAATCCCAATGAATAAATTTCATTTATTTCTATTGCCAGCTTAAATTGGAATACCTCATTTCCGGCTGTGACCATATGCGAACTTTATAATGGTGAAAAAATATGGGATTTGAGTGAGAAATATTTTGGTGTTGACCACGATTTGCGGTTGGACGATGTGGTTGGTGAAATCGTTTATTTCCAAGGCAGTTGCACATCGTGTGATGCATGTGACAATCAAAATATAACATGTCCAAGGAATTTTACAAGACTTCTATCGATGGTAACGTTGACTTTTAATGTACAGTGAAGCATCAAAAACCAGTCATCAAAAGCTATAGTTTAAAAATAAAATAACACAATTTTGACATAGAAAATCTTCAAAATCGAAATCTGTGTGTAAAGCCAGAAAGATATTGACATTCCACTTTTCGTTGCTCCCTTTTTATAAAATTTTATTGGCCTCTCGAGTAGTTATTTCTGTGAGAATATCTAATTGATTGAGTGTTCCTTAATTAAAGGCTATCTCACAGGAGACGGCTGGTTTTTTTTTTTTTTGAGAGGTTTCATGGTACATTTTTTGTAACAATTTTTAATATATTTCTATTTCCTTTTTTAATTTAGTTTCGCAGCAACTGTTCGGAATTAATAGGCAATTGTAAATACAACAACAATTTTATTGAATGCTGTGACCATTTTCAACCTCTGCGCACTGAATATGGACTATGTTTTGCCTTTAACTCCAATCAAGCTAAGTAAGTAATATTCTACGATTTATACTTTATACGCCACACTCTGATACAAGATATAGAATGAGACGGATTAGGCCGGGAGCTACTTTTGATGTCCTTAAAATAATATTGAGTCGATGACAATAATAAAAGGTTTATATAATAACCTTTCGAGTGTCCGCCACTTGATAAGCGATAAGACCATCTTAAAATTTTATATTCGTTCCAACAGTTCGTGTTAGGGCTTTTAATACCCTCCACCATGCATAGTATGGAGGGTATACTAATTTCATCGAAATAATATTTTTAGACTTAAAAAAGTATATATATCATTTATATATATTATTTAAGACGATTAAGCCCTATCCGCCTGTATGTCCGTCTGTCTGTCCGTCCATTGTAATCACGCTACAATCAAAACGATAGGTTTACGATAGGAACCTAACATTTTGCACAGATCAGTTTTTTGTCTGCAGGCAGTTCAAGTTCGAAGATGGGCTATATCGGTCCGCGATGTCGTATAGCCCCTATGTAAAGGTACCCCTGATATTCGGTATTTTAATGATTTTAGCCACATTTTTCGAAGGAATTGTGGGAAATTCTACACAAGGTGTACTTTATGAGTACTTTCTGCATGGAAGAGAATTGTCTATACAGGTCCACGATATCGCTGGCTCCCCGATATTCGGTATTTTGATGACTTTAGCGACATTTTTACCTCAAATGTTTCGTATTTAAAGTTTCTAATGGGTTCTACAGCCTTTGATACTGGAGAAATTGTGTATGCATGTCCACGTCTTCGCATAAACCCCATATAACGATACCTCCGGATACTCGGTATTTTGATGATTTTAGGGACATTATTCACCGGAATTGTTTTAAATTTCGTATTTGAAGCTACTAATGGATACTACTACCTATAATGACAAATTGACTATATAGGTCCACGTCTTCATACATACACACATAACCTCGCTTTATTCGGTATTTTGATGATTTTTGACCGAAATTGTTTAATTTCGTATGACTGGCTGTAGTACCCTATGACAAAAAATTATTTTTGCAGGACCACGTCTTCGTATAGCCCCCACATAACGGTTTTTCTTTGAGCGGTATTTTTCGAAGGTATTTTTGAAAAAATTTCAATTGCGGCCCGGACGAATTTAGCTACATTTTTACTTGTTAGTTCTCAAAATCCACGATTAGTACTAAATTTTCAGACTTTCAAGGATTTATATATTATTCAAGTTTTCCCTTTTTCGGAAAGCATAATAGCAAAATGTTTACATTTTACACCAAGAAGAGTACGGAGGAGGTTATTAGTAAAGCCATTGTACAATGGACCCATATCCATTTTTTCTGTCCATAACTATTTCAACGTCTCCATAGGTATCAAATTTCAGAATTTCAACTCTAGGAATAAAAAGTACTTTTCGTGCCTCATCGAAATAACTGTTTAAAACCCTAGGTCTCTTTGGACGTTTCAGGAAATTTGCAGTCGATTTGTGGTGTCCGTCCGTCTTTTCGGCTGGTGCGCACGATAAATCTCGAAGGGAGTATCCAATTTGGTCCAAACTTGGTACATCGTAATATTATTATCAAACTTAGATCGAGAACGGAGATGTATAATATCGGTCCACTCCTTCTGGTACCTCCCTTACAAAAGTTCAGTGAGGGAGGTCCCTCTGTGTTAAGTCAGGAACTTTAGTGGTTTGAAGATATATTAGAATATAAATCCATTTTTATACCCTACACCACAAAGTGGTCAGGGTATTATGTCTTTGTGCATTTGTTTGTAACAGGCAAAAGGAAACGAGATAGACCCATAGTTCCTTTTGATGATCGGCATAGAATCACATTTTGAGTCGATTTATGCATGTCCGTCCGTCCGTCTGTCCATGTATTTTTGTAAACAAAGTACAGTTCGCATTTATTGCCCGATCCAGATGAAATGTTGCACAAATCGTTTGTTTGGCCCAAGGACGAACCCTATTGAAATTGGAGATAATCGGTCAAAATTTAGATATAGCTCCCATATATATCTTCGTCCGATTTGCTTTTTATTGTGCACCAAACGTGTAATATCAGCCCGAATAGTATGGAATTTTGCACATACAACCAAATTAGGACTAAAAATAAGTATGCCAAATTTGATTGAAATCGGTTCAGATATAGCTCCAATATATATTGTTCATCCGATTTGCTATTTTTGTCCTCCGCAGCCGTAATACGCACTCTGTAACAACAATATTTGGGGAAATATATCAAATACAGCTCAGAAATACCTTTTCTAGATTTTATCGAATTTCATGGTTTCAGCTCCATCCCATTACCCAATACCAAATTTAGTAACATTTTGTACGCATATCCGAACCAACTGAATCTCTCCATATTAGACACCAACAGTGATCCAAAATTAACTCCATTTAGTACTTTTCGAATTTTTATAGTACACATTTCCAAAAACCACCTCCATATCTTAATTCCAGATACCAATAGAAATCTCAATATCAAATTTGAGAATTTCAGCCCTATGCCTTCACCCAATACCAAATTTAGTACAAATTTAGGAAACCATATCTCAAACATAGATACCATCAGTAATCTAAATCACTTGATCCAATATCAAATATAGTACCATTCAGTACTTTTCGTACAGTTCTAGAACACATTTCCGGAACCACCTCTAAATCTCAACCTCAGATACCAACAATTATGTCAAATTTCACAATTTTATCTCTATCCCTTCAATCAAGATCAATTTTATGATACACACTTTAAAAATTACCTCCATATCTCACCTCACCTATCTGACCTCAATATCAAAATTCAAGATTCACGCTCTATCCCTTCACCCAATACCAAATATGGTATCATTCAGCATTTTTGTACAATTATAGTACACATTTCCTAGACAAACTCCATATGTTACACATGACAGCGACCACAAAAACAAATTTCAGATTTCAACCACTATCTGTTCACGCTGTGCCGAATTTTAACAATTATAGTACTATTTAGTACTTGTCGCACTCTTGGCATTCGCATAAAAAAGTATTTCATCCAAACATGAGCAGTAACCCAAAATTCAGAAACTCCGTCAAACACCATGACAGTGTATTTAGTCGTTTTGAGTACATTTAAGATTAGCTTTCCAATAATGGCACACATTGTTACACTTGCACATCAACTAATGTATCACATTCCCGATTTCAGAACTCTAGCTTTATTCTTTCGCAAAATCCTGCCCTTTTTGTTTAAATTTCTAAAAATGCATACCTTTGTTGTATTTCAACAGTGTCCTTCATTTCGAAAGCATTCATCTTTTATCATTTCCTTTCTTACTTGTTGATTTTTAATTACAGTAAAATCGCCGAAACTCAATACATTAACAATCGGGAAGTCGGTGCTGGGTTCTTGACATTTGAGGTAACAGCCGATATACAACTCTTCTTACACTCCCCCTTTGAAATACCATTTCTAACGGCCGAAGGTATGATACGAGAAACAGTATTACAAGGTCTGAACAAAGAAGTCGTTATAAATGCCATGGAAGTCTATAATCATCCAAGTTTGGATAACATTGATATGGAGGAGCGAAAGTGTCGCTTCTTTAGTGAACTCACCGAGCTGGGAAGGCATTTGAAACTTTACAGTTTTTATAGTTTCTCAACATGTGTGGTGGAGTGTGCCTTCTCGATACATTTGAAATTTTGCAATTGCAGTAATCACTTTTTGGCCAAGGAAGGTATGTGGCTGGAAAAATATGAAATATTTGAAATTTATATAAAGGTTTATTTGCAGGATCTCCACATTATCACATGTGTGATTACGAAGGCCTTATGTGTCTAACGGATTATTATTATGATATATTGGAAGAACGTCGCCAATGCGATTGCATGAGCCCGTGTGAGGAACCGGAATATAATATTATATTTAATTCTGCAGAGGAGTATGTTAATTCAATATTTATAATCAGAATCAATAATAAATGTTTATTTGTTTTCCAAGAAATAAAAAGAAGAAGACAGACTTTACGAAAATACGAGTAGGTCTGGCGGAATTGCCCACTCTGCGCTATGTGAGAAAAGTTTCAAAATCAAATTTGGATTTATTAAGTAAGTAAATACTTTCAATACCTAGAAAATAAAAATTTATTTTCAGCTAAAACATTTTAATTGATAGATAAAAAACATAATTTTAATACCCTAAATAATGACATAAATACATGGGTATCCATTTTCCAAACCATTCTTACCAAATAATAGTTGAGACAATTATTATATAGTACTTTAAAATAGTAGAAAAGATAATCTACCATACCCATTGAGTTTGGCACCAATTAAAAAGTCTATCTATTTTTGATTTTTATGTTTAAATTTATCTTTAAGGTAGGCGATATAATGTAATTAATCTATTTTGTATTTCAGTTTCCCTTGGAGGATTGGCTGGTCTATTTTTCAATGTCTCTCTAATACGCATTGTTGAGGTGGTATTTCTCCTATGGGACTTTAAGTGGAGAGCAATAAGGAATCTCTTGAAGTAGTAAATTAACATAGGTCTAATATAGTATAAATTAATTACAAACAAATATATTTTTGTACAATTTTATTACTACTCTAAAAAGTTTTCAATTAATTTATTTTAAGCATGAAGCTGATTTTATAGTTTATTTAATATTATGTAATTTTATTGCCCGTTGGGTTAGACCATATACATAGTGCCGTAAGAGATCTTCCGCCAAGAACCCGAAATATGAAATTGCTGCTAATTCAAATGGAAAGAAGAGGTAAAACTTTTAAATACCAATATCAAAACTTATAAACTTTATCTCAAATATGTACCGAACAGCATATCAACTGATGGTCCAGCGGAGCCAGCCAAGTTGATTAAGACTATGGCTTACTTCAATTTATAGAGTGTCTGAGGAATATTTTGTGGTGCAAAAGAAATATTAAAACAAGTAAAATAGTATCAGTCGGTTTTGCCGACAGATGTATACCCCCAGCCTTGAGTTATGATTATTCAAACTGTTGCCCTTTATGGGGGAGGTTCCGGAACAGTTGGCCTATTCGTATCTGACCTAAGACTAATATAAATAATACAACGTCCCAGATTCCGACTATATCGACTACTTCCTACACTTTATATGAGATATGTGTAAATTCTTGGAAAATGTGAAAATTTGCATGGGGTAACAGATATAGTCGACCGAAGTATTCCATTTTCATACTTCATCTAATACACATAAAAATGTTAGCATGTGCAAAATTTGTAGGAAATCGAACATTTATATTCAATTTTATGCGAAATAATAAATTTCGATAAATCACATATTCATATCAGATTTCCGGTTAAGAGAAATATTTAGATATAGCAAGTTGTAAAGAATTGCCGACTTGTTTCGCAAGTTATAACAGATGTTAGTATTGGAAATTCCGACCCTTTGTTGGTAAGGTACCAGCAGATATATATTACCTTTTCAACAGATATTTGGATGTGTGACATTTGGAGAGAGTTGGATTTACTTTCTTTGAGCATTTTGTTTTTCAAAGATCTTAAACCCTATGTGGGGGAGATACCACAAGAAATGGTCCGAACTGTACCATCTTTATAACATATACTGTTTTAATGGAAATATTAGATGTACCAATTCTAAATGGAATCGGTTGTTAATTTCGCGTTTTATGAGCTTCATTGGTATTCAAAATGTTGACCCTTTGTTGGGGAGGTACGGGAAGGAGTGGACCGATATGGCCCATCTTCGAACTCGATATAAGTTTGACAATAATATTAAATCGGATACTCCCTTCGAGAGTCGTCGTGCGCACCAGCCAGACGGACGGACATCGCTAAATCGACTCCAAATGTCCTGAAACGGATTTGCTACCAAGAGATCTAGTGTCTAAAACCGTTATTTCGTTGAGGTACTTTTGGCCGTATCAAATGATATATCCCTCTCTAGCCATATATGTACCCTCTCTAAACCATCTTTAAGGACATACAATCCGAAAGGAGGAATTGGTGGAGATTGCAGTCAGAGTTCCGACCGCATAATAATGTCTACAGCCATTGGTACACCTGTGTTAGTTAATCGCCTAAACCGATTTCCTATCCTTGACATTAAGGGCCGGACTGTATCCGAACTCATACTTGTTAATAACAGGGACCCGCAACAAGTAGTAGATTTATTTTTTATGCTGCTGTGGTTTAAAGGCTATGACATGTTGGACACTGTTGCTTACTGCCTGATAAAGTCATGGAAGGCATACTCATCAAAGAACCTTGTCAATCCTGGACGCTTAATGGTTGTACAAGGCAAAAGGTGTTGGAGCAGATCTAAAAAAATAATATCCGACAGTACTCATTGCACCTCTAATTGTTTCAACTCCAAGAAGTCATGTCACGAAGTGGTCATAAAAAGTCGGCAAATATTTGTAGACGAGATTGTGATCAACATGAACTTGAAGGTCGTTTTCAGACTCAAATAAAATCACCCACGGTTGCTTTGGACGCTTTTTGATTGCCATACTTACTTCTTTAAACCAACCGACTTCGATAAGACCTGCCCTTGCCTTGGACCATTCTCCCATAGAGCAATATATTTAGTCGCTGATTGAACGGTGCATCTTGAAAAAATCAATGAACGGAAGGCTGGAAAACGGTTCACACTCAGTTTCTGCCACTTAATTTTTGAATCAAATTGAAATCTCTTCTTCATATGCCACTGTAAAAAGCAGGTTCACTGATAAGCCACTCCGAGATCAAACAGTACTATGTAAAATCAGAATTATATGCCATTCACTTCCATTATTTCTGTCATCAGTCAGAAGACGTTCATGATCAGCTATTGTCAGTGGATTATCTTTGATGGAAAATTCTCTGCTGGCATTTCTGATGATTGAGGAAAGAAACTCCGATGGATCGGCCATGTATATACGTCTGATTTGCTTTTGCTGCTTTCCTAATCTTGGTAAATCGAGTCTTTCAATTCCATTTTACTCTCCATTTGCCATCCTTAACTAGTCTATAGTAAGTGTCCTTACCAATATCACGCCTCCTTCCCCAACACAGAGGCAGCGCAATAACTTAATCCTGTCGAGCTCATCAAATTGCCTTACCTATAAAAGAAAAGTTATTCAAATCTTGGTCAAATTTCAATTCCATTATTCTCTCTCGTTACCTTTCTTAAATATCGACAAGCTTCATTTAAATTCAATGGAAATTTACGAATTTCCAAAATTTGCACAAAATTGGGATCTTTTTGAACGTGAAATATATAATTTCTAAAAGACTTGGCTGTTTTGGGACACAATTCCATAGAAAATCCAAGTGGGAAATATTGTTTAAGTATATCCTTATGCCTGAATAAGAACTTAATTTTCGACACATAAAATTTTGTCTTAATAGTCTTTTATATTTGCTAGAATTTCAAGTAAAAATTACAATTCTCAAATAATTTTTTTTTAATAAATTACAATATATCAATAGCACACACATCAATTAAATACGTACACATAATGTCAATCGAAAATGTACAGTAATCAAACAATTGCTATTATCTTAAATATCAATTTTAATGGCATTCAACAATGCTTTGAGCTTATTGGACACAGTACCTATTATTTTCAAAATATTTGTTTAACAACCTTGCCTTTTAAAGATTCAATTTATATAACAATCTCTTTCTTATAGAAACTTAAAAATATTGATGATTAAAAATAAAGTCACTTGTGGAAATTGAAGTGGCCGCTGCTGCTGCATTATTTCCCTGCATACCATTCGGAGCCATCGAGAGCCACGATTGCATTTGGAGATTACAACAAACACAAAGTGTCATTCGCTCTTAACTTATACTAATTTTTTCTGCTTGCAGTATGGGAGCGGCATATGATGCTGTAGGTCCCGTCGCTGATATGCCGCCCTGTTGCGATTGTTGTTGTTGTGGCGTTATGAACTGTAGGAAAGTTTCAATGTACGAGGGCAAATAGAAGTAACTAGAAAATATCACCAAAGATAGAATGATTGCGACAAAGCCATCTAGAAAACACAAGTGGGGAATAGATAGGGGAATTGCGTTTTAATAACAAATTTAAATATTGAAAACTTTGTTTTCCATACTTATCAATTTCTTCTCCCATGGCTCGAACATGTAAATATTGGTAACCAGTTCATATTGGAGGTAAAGATTAATCAAAGATTTCTTCAGAAATTGTAACATTTTCCCTGTGATTCTTGTTTTTTTGTGTGCACCCTAGAACTTCAGTTGTTATTGCCTTCTTTTGTTTTCACAAATAACTTTATAAACTTTGCTTAGACTTCCATTCAGAGGGCGAAGCCGATGTGAAATTCTCGGCGGCGGCGGCTAAAGCAATATACGGCCGGCGGCGGCTAAAAGTCGGCTACAGCCGACGACTTTAACGTGAACAAATAATTTCGGTTGTTTTAATAACTGTCAATTCATTTAATTTAAAGTAAAAATGAAAATATAAGTTTATATGCACATTTGTTGCTTATAGCACATTAAAAATTATAATAAAAATACTTTAATTTGATAAAAATGGTTCGACGACCGCCTTGTTATCGTGAACAAACAATTGTTTCTTTACTGTTGCCGGATGCAGGTTGCTTCTCTTAGCATTTACACAATTCCCGGCATATGAAAATGCTTGCTCTGAAGATGCTGATGTGGCTGGAATTCCAAAGCACATATTTGCTACAGTAGCAACATTTGGAAAAATCTATAAAAAGTAAATAGTCAAAATGTAACATGCTTAAAACAAGTTTAAGATGTGAATCTTTAACGTACTTGTTTGTTCTGTCGCCACCAATCTAGAGGCTCAACCGCTTCGACTTTCATTTCCAAATATTTTCTTATTTCTAACTCTACGTTATTTTGTACATTAGAAGAATCAACAGATTCGTCTGAATCGGATTCTGATTTAGTCAAAACTGTTTGACCCTTTCGGTCAGCGGAAAAATAATTTTTAATATTCCTTTGGCACATTTTGCATTATTTTCCTTGAACAAGCAAAAACACAACGAATCTTTGGCTAACAATATGGTTGCCACTCCATCAAAATTCGTACGTTACAAAAGGTTGCCAAAGGTTTTGTGATAAAAAAAAAAAATCTACAAAGACATAATACCCTTACCACTATGTGGTGTAGGGTATAATTAATATAAATAGCCTACACGTTTTTACCTCTCGAAGACGAGTGCGCAATGTAAATTATCGTCCAATAATGAGAATTATAATATGTTAATTTATCGATAAGATTAAAAAACATATTTAAACAAATTTGCTGTATAAATTTATATTTTTCAACAGCTTAGCCGACTCAGTCGGCTAAAAATTTGAGCCGATGAGAGCCGCATACATCAGCGGCGGCTCAGATCACTTAAAAAAAGTCGGCGGCGGCTGCACGCCGACTGCGAGCCGATCGGCTTCGTGCTCTGCTTCCATTGGGCAATTATATTGTCCAACTCTTACCTGTTTTTTAAATAATCCTGTCCAACAAATGTGTATTATCTTATTCTTATCCAATTCCAAGGACTTATTATTGTTCTTATTGGACTTATTGGTGTTCAGGGGAGTTGATTGTCGTGTCGTCTCTGCTTCAAGTGCTAGGTTAATTGTTCGTTGCGAGCGTTGGAAACAAAAATGAAAAACGTCCCAACGAAACGAATATGAAGGCCACAAAGGAATACCCGATAAAAAAATAAACAGAAAGCAAAGACTCGGGGTACTCTGTTGTTTACAAATGAGACATGAGAAAATTGAACATCTTCACAAAAGAGCGCGGAACTAGTTGCTACTATCAGCTCCAGTAGGGATAGGTAAGTCGACTTTCGATTAATTGACTTAATTAATGAAAATCGTTCCCAACGAAACGAATATTAAGGCCACAAAGGAATACCCGATAAAAAATAAACAGAAAGCAAGGACTCGGGGTACTCTGTTGTTTACGAATGAGACATGAGAAAATTGAGCATCTTCACAAAAGAGCGTGAAACTAGTTGCTACTATCGTTTGCCGAACTCGACTATGGACTTGGGTGAAAACCGAGTACTCGACTATCCATAGTCGGTTTCAAATTCCTGTTCAACTTATGGACTGTTCCAGCACTGCAAGAATGTAAAACTTTATACTATGATAACGATTTTCCCTTTATTATAAAGATTCTTGCAGGTTCTGGAACAGCCCTATTGTTGAACAAAAAAGGGAAAGATGAAAATAATGTAAGGTGGCTTACACACCATTGAACAAAACAGTGCAGGCACTTGGATTGGGCGGGAGTTACAGGGAAAATGCTTGGTACACTTAAATCAAGGTATCCTCATTTCAAATTATAATGCCCAACTCTGCATTTTTCTGTAATTCATCTTGTCAAATTTCACTGCATAGAAAATAGGTTCTCATCACTAATTTTTGTTGTTGCAAAATGGTCAGGCTTTATCCCTTTATTGTTGCTTTTACAAAAACAACGGTTGTTTATTAGTGGAGAACGATGGTAATGTTTACCAGGGGGTAAGGCAGGGAATACCTAGGTTTCGGAAAGAGCCACCAATCCTCATCAGTTCCCTTGTTTTTTGTCTGAGATATTCTCCCCAGAAGTTCAGCTGTGAAAGGCAGTGAAATTTTAAACGTTCCAAATAAACGAATGCGTAGGTATTGAGAAGGTTCGATAAAATTAACCAACAAAAGGAAAAGATCTGATCATACTTGAAATAAATGTTGAATGCAATACAGATGTATATTATGTCTGCAGGACTTTTGGTATTGCGCCCATATAAATGTACCTCCCTATTTTCGGTATTTTGGTAATTTAAGCGACATTATTCACCGGAAATGTTTCAAATTTGGTGTTTGAAGTTCGTAATGGATACTACAGCCTATGACAGAAAATTGTCCGTGCAGGTCCACGCCTTCGTATAGCCCCCATATAACGGTGCCTCCCGATATTCGGTATTATGATGTTTTTAGCGACTTTATTCACCGGAATTGTAATGGGTATTACAGTCTATGACCGAAAATTGTAGGTGCAGGTCTTCGTATAGCCCCTATATTATGGTACATACTGATGTTCGGTATTATGATGTTTTTAGCGACTTTTTTCACCGGAATTCTTTCAAATTTGGTATTTGAAGTTCGTAGCGGATACTACAGCCTATGACAGAAAATTGTGTGTGCAGGTCCATGTTTTCATATAGCCCCCATATAACGGTACCTCCATGGTACAATGATATCAAGGTAGGGCTATGATACCATATGATTTCAATTTTTTTATTTTCTTGGCTTAATATGTCATCTTTATTTGTTTATGTATGTGTTTTCTTTTCAATAACAAAAAAATTGTTCAGAAAACATTCAAATTCGGATGTTTTCAAAATGTTTATTTTATCGTATGCGTCGACAAAATCTATAGTTTTTGTAGCGAAATAATCCTTTAAAGATATATAGAACCTGGTTTTAAAAAGAAGTGTTGACCTTTCATTCAGTCTTCGCGGTTTTTAATTATTTATTCAAAATAAATGCAACAAGTTGTTTGATTTTTTATTGTTTTGATACTAATTCTGACATTACAAGGTAGACCTCTATACTTGCAATTTTTTTAAAGTTGACCTACCTTCTCTTCATTGTACCATGCCTCCGAATAACGTCGTATAAGAAAACATATAAAAATCTACTTATATTTGAAAAGAAATTTAAAATTTTTTGACATATCAATGCTCCCACGCGTTGTTGCATCTACCTATATTTTTTACCATGGTATGGTAGTTTATGGCCCGTTCTAATATATTTTCTTTATAATCCGGTTTTGTAATCCGATAAAGTTCATATACATTATTATATCTTCCCTTTAAAATAAATGTAGAGATTTGGTAAGCTTTTTGTAAATGTAACTGCTAGTCACGGCATTTTTTTCAGTGATATCTTACTTTTGGTTAAAAATGACAAACAAAGCGAATTTGCAATTAAAGTTTTAAATTTACCAAATCTGTGGGAAACGATAATCAACCTTAAAGAATCTCACTACTGAATACAATCCAATCACCCCCCACCATGGAGGGTATATAAAGTTTGTCATTTAGTTTGTAACACCTGGAAATATACATAATTGGCTGAGGAGCTTTACGTCTAACATCTGATATTCGGAATTTTTAAAATTATAGCGACATATTTCAGTGGAACTTTTTCAATATTAGTTTCTTCAAATTTGGTAAAAATCGGTCTAGATATGGCTAAATGAAACTTTTTAAAAGCTATAGGAACGTTAAAAAAGATAAAATTCAGAAATATGACTTAAATCTTTATTGAACTATTAGTACGGTCCACACAATTTAACGTTTGAAGATTATTTAATGCAAATGTTGAACATAAATTCCGAATAGATATATTTAACATTGTCAATGTGTCTTGTATTGCACTTGAAGAATCACAAAAAGATCATCAACATACTTCGTCACAATCGTCCGTTTTGTTGTAAGTTTTTCCAAACAGGTGTCAAGTAGTTTCTTCATCACCGGCGAGCCCATTTAAACAAAAATTACCATGAGAATCACATTTCGTCTGAACAAGTTATAATGAGTCATAAACAAACAAATTGCGTTGCCAACTGTTTAAATACTTTAGTTCACATGGCATTGCCAGAAGTAAATATTTGTCATTAAATGGCGCAATATTGCCATAATACTAAAAAATAAATAGGTATTATTTAAATAATTGAGAAAGAGTTGTGAATGTCAAAATTAACGCATTTCTAACTTTTTTTATTTAAAAATATTAAAAAGAATTTTAGGATTTGGAATAAACCGCCAAAATTTGTTCGTGAAGACGCTTGATTTTTTAAACCAAACCTACAGTTAAGCTCCAAACGCAAAGATCAGTTAAAGAAACAAAGACTTTCTCATTGGACTTTTTCTAACACATTCCGTTTGTTTTTACTACTGAACAAATCTCTAGAATTAAAAACCTTTTTTGTTTCCTCTGCCATATTATTTGAATTATTTAACAAAAACTCAATTTTTCGTATATAAAACATATTTTTATTACTGACAAAATAAATAGCAGGACATTTAAAATTATTATCAGCAAACATTTCTTAACTACACATAGGGTATGTACTTATAAAATATATTGTCATAAAAAAGTATTAACCTAAAAAAATTGCAACTTATTAGCACATTATTAAAAAACGATTACAAGTCGGCTTAATTAAATTTAACAAAATGTAAATTAATATTTAAAAAATATATATGCAATATTTTCTATTTCAAATTAAAAAGCAAATCAGTTTATCTATTAGAAATAATAACTTAATTTATGATTTTGATTTAATTATGCTCTTAACACGTACACGAAACTATTTAGTTATTTACATTATTTACTCGTTATATTTGTAATTAATATCTATCATATCTGTAAAACATAATTCTATGTGGAAAAATATACACTTTAAGCGTTTTTATTGTTGAAACTATATTTCTTAAATAATTACTAAAATTTATTGCTTTTAATACATTATTAATCTACTTTTTTATATTTTTATTGTCACTTAAATTATTTTTAATATCACACTGAGTAGGATTTAATAGAAGAGGGGTATTTATATTTTTTTTATTTATCTATACTATATATTTTACATCCATATACATATATGTAAATAATAATATTAATAATTACTTATGAAACGCATATAAGTATATCTTCGTTCGTTAATTTTTATATAAACCACATTTTTTATTTAATTTATTTTAAATCATTATTTTATTTTAAATCATTGGGGATTAACTGTTTAGTTGATGAAGACTTTTGGATCATCAAAGACAGTTAATAGTTAAATTGTATTTCAGATAAATTTCATTTCAGCGTTGAGTATAATAAATGCATTCTTGCGAGGATGTTTTATTCATGGATATATACCATATATATCTTCAATTTGCTGTACTCCAATATTGAGGGCATCGGGTTGTCCGAGGGATACTGGATTTTAAATACCAATGGTATGGCATAAAAATAACCTCAAACTTCAAAATAAAATTCGATTTAATAAAAATTACGTTGAGACTTATGGGTCAAAAATTCAAATATTTGCCAGAACAAAAATGCAATATATCCTCACGTACATAAATATTGTTTAGAAATTATCCATTTTTGTATTCTCTCTTTTACTTTATATTATAAAGTAGATAAGTCCTTTAAAAAAATATTTTGATATTTTGTTCATATAAATTGAGATCAATGCAATATTTTACAGCTATTAACAGTTTATAGTTATTTTAAGTAGTTTCGGACATTATATTGTGAAGCTGAACTGCGAAATGGAGATTATGTCTTGGTAACATAATTTTTCAAAGACAAACTAACGCTTGCAGGTCATATGCATGTGGTTGGTAGTAGGGATACATAGTCGAGAGTAAAAGTTGGCTTTGAGAAGTTCAATTTTTTTTTTACTTCAACAGTCAATTTTAAATTTCTCTGAGGATCTAAAATTTGAATATCGATTCTCACTTTCCCAAATTATGTCGACCAAAGTCGATTTCCATTTTTTAATGAGCTGTTTCGTCAACACATGCTATAACCTACAAGGTGAGATAAAAAACTGCAACGAAGTCAAATACCATAACTTTTACATTTTTTTTAATTTTCTTGAATGAAAGAAAAAATGTCGGAAATAGCATCAAATTTTAGAATAAGTTGAGATTTGTCCGAATCGGTCACCTTTGGCACGAATAATGGCCTTTAAACGACCAATGAAATTGCCACACGCTGCCCAAATATTGCTCTGCGGTCTTTGGCTCATTCCCGGCGAAGTGCTTGCTTGAGGTGATCCACACTTTGGTATTCTTTAGTGCCAACCTTGCTTTCCAAAATACTTCAGACACAATGGTCCACCGGATTGGTATCCCGAGATTTTGGTGACCATTGTGCGCTGGAAATGAAGCGAGGAGCCTCATTTTGTTACCATTCTTGGGTGGCGCGTGCTGAGTGCGATGGCCATGTTGGAATTTCCAAGGTCTGCGGCCAAAATGTTTGTGTGCCCAAGGCTTTAATACACCCTCCAGAATTTTTTCTTATTTTTTAATTCAATTATCCTGATGCCACGGTCGAATAATACGAGCGGGGAGCGACAATCGCTTGAGTTCTGGTGGCCAACTGAAGGTGTACATTTTCAGCTGACCTCCTTGGCAAGTAAACACGACCATTTTATACCCTCCGCCATACTATGGAGGGTATATTAACTTTGTCATTCCGTTTGTAACTCCTCGAAATATTCATGTCTGACCCAACAAAGTATATATATTCTTGATCAGCGTAAAATTCTATGTCGATTTTGCCATGTCCGCCTGTCTGTCTGTTGTAATCACGCTATCTTTCGAACGAATTGAGATAGAAGGTACATGTAGGTCCACGTTTGCATGTAGCCCCCATACCGATATTCGGTATTTTGATGATTTTAGCGACATTATTCACCGGAATTGTTTCCAATTTGGTATTTGAAGTTCGAAATGGGTACACAGAAAATTGTCTGTTCAGGTCCACGTCTTCGTATAGCCCCCAGATAACGGTACCTCCCAAAATTCGCTATTTTGATGATTTTAGCGTCATTATTCACCGGAATTGTTTCAAATTACGTATTTAGAGTTCGTAATGGATACTACAGTCTGTGACAGAAAATTATCTATGTAGGTCCAAGTCTTCGTATAGGCCCCATATATCAGTACCTCCCCATATTCGGTATTTTGACGAGTTAAAGTACAATACCCACCGGAATTGGTTGAGATGTTGTATTTGACGTTCGCAATGGATGCTATAGCCTGTGACAGAAAATTGTCTATGCTGGTCCAGATCTTCGCACAGCTCCGATATAATGATGATTGATGATTTTAGCTAAATTATTTACCGTATATTTCAAGTTGCGAATTTGAATATGATAATGTCTTATGACAAACAATGCCTATGTAGGTCCACGTCGTATAGACCCCAATATAACGTCTATATTCGATATTTTTAAAATTTTAAGAGAATTTTTTAAGGATTTTATTTTTGGAAAATTTCCAAATTCGTTTCAAATGGTGGAGGGTTTGTTGTTTTTTGTTTACAAACTGCTGGACAACGAATGTTTCCTCATCGGAGAAAACCAAATTCGGCAGTGCACCATTTCGGCCACAGCGACGCGGGTTTCGATTAAGTCGCTTCTTTACTTTTCGAACCATTTCTGCTGATGTTGCTGTTTTCTTCCATCCACTTCCTTGACGTCGGGCTACGTTGCCAGCATCACGGTAACTAGCGATGGTACGAGACACAAAAGATTTATTCACATTTAAATGCTGGAGTGCTCTACCTATAGCCACTTGTGGTTTTTCAGCCAAATATAAAGGAAACACACTATCACGTTCGAATTTCATCACGAATAACTTTTTTTTCTAGAAAATTCTCACCAAAATGCTTTCGTACGCTTATAAACAATATAATGAGCTGTCACTGGAATAATTTGAACAGCTGTTGGACGAGAGACTTAGAAATGACAGCAGTCTGAATTTGGTTGCAGTTTTTTCAACTCACCCTGTATTTTTTCGACTTTTCATGAGCATTATTAACGAGGATTATAACATGAGCATTCATAACTTTAATCATTGCATACTTTTTGGGGTTCATGAAAATTAAAAATCCCGTTAAACCCCATTGACCGAAAACCGATTACATAAAGTCGACATTACATATAAGCAGAAATTGACTTCGATTTTGCAAGTTGATAAATAAAACCTTAAGGTATGCACTCCGGGGGTAGATTTCATTTGTGTAAATTTAATTTTCAAACATTAAATTATATGGACAGGGTTTTTGCACTACTCCGTGGCGCCCAACATAAAATCCAAAACAAAACAGCATGGAGTGACACTGTCGCCGCAAATGCTGTAATTCCGTTATTGTCTAATTCAAACTAACATTAATCGCCCAACTCTATTATGCCCCTAACATCGCAGTTCAGATTCTACAACTTGGTCCTAACAGTTCTAGCATCACAATCTAAAAAAAAAAATTACAAATACTTAAACAATTTTTGTATACACTTATTTTAAGCACAAACACTTTGAGTGAGCGTAAAATAAACCAGCATCCCCCTTCTTCCTTCCGAAAAAAAAATCAATTTCAATGAGGGAGAAGAGTGGGGACGCCATGCTGACCTCAACACTACACTAGAACTGTTAGAATTTCCGAATCATCTGGGTTCGTCGTAGCTGTTGTTATTGTTGCCTGGGTTGTCGTTGTCGTGGCAACCGGCACCGGTGTCACGGTGGCCACTGGTGGTGCCTGCACCGGCATTGCTCTACAATTTATTGAACGTTTACCAAAATCTTTTCTCGGACTGTCGATGGAACCAACCGTATTCTTTTTCATATCGGAATTTTGAGTTTTATGCAAGAGGATTTGTGATGTACGTTTCGATTGGAACTCCTTGGATTTTTGTGTCGTTTCCAAATCACAATCAAAATTTGATTCTGGATATAGGGGAGGTGGAACACTACGACTGTGGACACCCGATGTGGCAGATGTGGAGGCGGGGCTTACACTGGCAATTTCCGGGGAGGGATTTAAACTCAATTCCATGCCATTAACACGGCCCAACGATGAAGTGCTCACCTTAAGGGGATTTGTATAGCGTCGCAGATTTTCCTCATTTTGTAGATTATTTGATTTTTCCTCATCGTGGCGCAGAGGATCCTGGGATGTGGCCATATTTATGCCGGAGTTTGAAGACATGACCATGCGTTGACGCCAAAACAGGCTAAGGAATATGGCCAGTCCGACGAGGACAATGAAAATGCCACACAGAATTCCAATTAACAAATTGTTGCTGTTGCCTTCAGCAATCAATGCCGTTTCCACCTTGACCTCCAATATGGAAACCAAGGCAGCCAATTTTATGGAACGTAACTCATGTTTCGCGGGAGGTAAATCGTTGCTCTGGCGTGAGGATAATAACTCACCCAACAGGCTAATTGCAGTGGGCAGCTGGGAGTCATTTGCCAAGGTGGAGGACTGAAAAGGAGAGGAAAAAGAATTTTAAAAAAATTTTCCGTTCCTGTGTTGAACCAAAACTTACCACTGTAACCTCTATGGTATCATTGGTCCCCGTTTTGATGTCACAAATAATTATCAACATACCCTCCTGCTTTTCACTCTTGGGCAATTTAACCATGCGTGAGGCCAATAAAAATCTCAGCACCGAACATAGGCCCTCAACAGATGAGCCTGGACCCACCCGTTGACGATCGAGGAGTATTGTCAAGCGGGCACAGTTGTCATTCAGTACAGCCTGATTTGGCCAGCAATCCGATTTGGCTGGCAAACGTGGTGGCTCTACACGATGTGAGGGCTCCAAGGCCCTGCAGTCTCCTCTCAGGGCACATGGCCCATTGAGACAATTTTCCGCCAAAGTGGGTACACAAACCTCGTGAGGCTTACAGAGACCCGAGAAATTGGAAGACTTCGAATTGGTATTGGCGCGGAAACAATTTGCCAGGCCACACCACAAATTCGTACATCTCGAGGTGCCATTTTCACACAGGCAGGCATTGCAATACTCGCTCGTTTGGCCTGTGAGAAGTTGCGACAAAATATCTTGGGATTTGTTCAACGAGGGATAGGGTGACAAAGAGGCCGAACTGCTGTTTATGCAGGACGATTTGGAATCGGAAAATACTGAAAACAAAGCACAGAAAAAATATTAAAAATTCGCTATAAAAATCTCCTTCTTTTTACTTACATATCTCACACCTCAAACCATGCCTTCCGGGTGGACAAATACAAGTATACCCCCCAATACCATCGATACAGGTGGCCCCACCCTCACATGGCTGCGGGGAACATTCATTGACATTAATGCGACAATCTGGTCCCGAAAAGCCACGAGCACAAATGCAGCGGAACCAACCTGATCCCGACTCACAAGTGCCACCATTATGACATGGCTGTCCCCGACACTGATCAATTGGATCTGTACAATATGTTCCATCCCATCCGGGAGCACAACGACACTGTGAATGTAAGCCCTTTTCAGGGGAGCCTGGAACACAGGTACCACCATTTTGGCACTGACCCGGATAACAGGCGGTGGCTCGTTCCGAACAACGTTTGCCTAAAATGAAGAAATAATGGAAAAGTTAAATTATTTTAATATTTGGTTAAGCAAATAAATATATAAAAGTAAAAGGATGGAAATTTGTACGTATGTGTACAAAAAAGTACTAAATCGTACTAAGTTTGGTACAATTTCGATTTGGATGAAACGCTTTGGTTTTACTGAAATTTGCAAATAACATTGCCATTGAATTTTAGGATTATGTAGGTAGTTTTTGACATTTGTACTTATGTGTACTAAAATGTACTAAATTTAGTATAATTTGGATTTGGGTGGACCAATAGAGCTGGCATCCTGAAATTTGGAAATAAGACTACTGTTGAAAATAAGATTACTGCCAGTGTGTAGGATTGTGATATGAACCTAGTTCTTGAAATTCGTACTTATGTGTAGTCTATGGTACTAAATTTAGTACATATTGGAATTGGGATGAATCAATAAAGCTGTAGTTCTGAAATTTGGATTGAGAGTCACTGATGGAGTGCATGAGAGATACACCAAAGGGTTTTTGCAAATTCGAACTTTAAGTTCTAAAATGTTATTAAACTTCTAAAATGGTACCATTTGGTATTATGTGAGCGGATAGAGCTAAATACTTGAAATTCGGTATGAGAATCCAGGTTGGAAATTAAGTTCGACATATGGAGATTTTAGAAATGTGTACTAAGTGTGCGAATTGTAAGAATTGGTACTAAATTTGTGATAAAGAAGTGGCTTTAGAAGTGCTTGCTGCAAGTACACGAACAGTACTAAATAGTACTATATTTGGAATACTTTGGTATTGGGCGAACCGATAGTGCTTGAAATCTGAAATTTGGTATACTGGGTCGCTGTTTATGTGTAGTCTGGACGTAGGGATGTTCTTTCGGAAATGTGTACTATAATTGCACGAAAAGTACTGAATGGTACTATATTTGGTATTGGTTGAAAGGATAGAGATACAATTCTGAAATTTGATATTTAGATTACTCTGAGGTGGTTTTGGAAATGTGTACTATAATTGTACGAAAAGTACTAAATTTGATGTTGGCTTAAATCCTGAAATTTGATATTGTTTTCACTGTAAGTATCTGTGGTTAAGATCTGCGTGTTTGGAAATGCCTCCCATATTTGTACGAAAAGTAGTAAATGGTACTACATTTGGCATTGGGGAAAATCTCAAATGTTATATTGAGGTCTCTGTTGGTATCTGGAATTGAGATATGGAGGTATGTACTATGATTGTACGAAAAGCACGAAATAGTACTAAATCTGATATTGGTTAATAGAGCTTAAATCCTGAAATTTAAAATTGATGTAACTGTTGGTGCCTGTGGTTAAAATATGGGGGTGAATTGTAAGTGTGTACTATAATTGTTCGAAACGTAGTAATTGGTAATAAATTGTGTATAGGGTGAAGGGATAGCGCTGGAATGCCAAAATTTGATATTGAGGTATTTGTTGCTATCTCCGATTGAGATATGAAGGTGGTTTTGGAAATGTGTTCGAAAATTGTATGAAAAGTGCTAAATTGGACTAAATTTGGACCAAATGCGTTTCAGGACATTTGAAGTCGATTTAGCGATGTCCGTCCGTCAGTATGTCTGGCTGGTGCGCAGATAACTCTCGAAGGGAGTATCCAATTTGATTCAAACTCGATTTGATCGAGTTCGGAGATGAGCAATGAAAGTTCACTCTTTCTGGTACCTCCCCCACAAAATATCAACATTTCAAATGAAAATAATTTACTGCACAAAAAGAGAAAGGATAATCTGATTTTGCTGCAACATTGCAAATCTTAAAATATGCATCACTTCTAGGTCAGGTGTGAAAATGGACAATATCGGTCCACTCCATCAAATACCTCCCCTACGAAGGTTCAAAGTTTTGAATAGTTATAACTCTTAATAAAGTGTGATGTAAGAGAGTGTGTGATTGTCTTCAAATCACACATATCACAATATTTATATAATTCAAAGGCCTGGTGTGAAGATGGAATGTATCGGTCCACTCTTTGTGGTAGCTCCCCGACAAAGGGTCAAAACTTTGAAAATCCATGAAGCTCTTAAAAAGAGAAATTGTCATCACGTTCCATTCAGGCTTGGTACATCTCAATATTTCCATCAACACAAGATCTGTCATAAAGATGGTATGGATCGGACAATTTCTTCTGGTACCTCCCACACAAAAGTTTGGGAAAACGAAATGAGCATCTAACTCTCTTCAAATTTCACACAGACAAACATTTTTGCTAACACAAGATCTGCTATAAAGATGGAACATATTGGTCCACTCCTTCTGGTACCTCCCTCACAAAGGGTCAAAAGTTAAAATGTCCATGAAGCTCATAAATAAATAATAAAAAAGCTCCAATTCCATTCACACCTTCAAACGGCCAATGAAACCGTCAAGCGCTGCCCGAATGTTGCTCTGCGGTATTTTGGTCCATTCCCGGCGAAGCGCTTGCTTGACGTGATCGACACTTTGGTATTTTTTAGTCCCAACCTTGCTTTTCAAAATTCCTCAGAGACAATAGTCCAACGGATTGGCATCCGGAGATTTTGGTGGCCATTGTACGCTGGAAATGAAGCGAAGTGAAGTTTGCGTGCCCAAGGCTTTAATACACCCTCCAGAATATTTTCGTGATAATATTCGGCATTTATTCTGATGCCACGGTTGATTAATACGAGCTGAGAGCGACCATCGGCTGTTATGGCGGCCCACACCATCACCATTGGCGGCGTTTGAGTTCTGGTGGCCAACCGAAGGTGCACATTTCAGCTGACCTCTTTGGCAAGTAAACACGATAATTTTTGTTTGTTTACAAACTGCTGGACAACGAATATTTTCTCATCGGAGAAAATCAAATTCGGCAGTTCACCACTTTCGGCCAAGCGAAGCAACTCTTTAGCTCTTTTGAGTCTATTTTCTTTCTGATGCGGTGTAAGTTCTTGCACTTTTTGGAATTTCAATGGCTTTACCCCGAGCTCTTGTTTTCAATATTTGCTGAATGGAATATTGCGATATGTTCAGCTCACGAGCCATTTTTCGGCCACTGCGACGCGGGTTTTTATCAAATCGCTTCTTTACTTTTCGAGCTACGCTACCAGTATCACGATAACGAGGCACGAGACACAGAAGATTTATTCACATTCAAATGCTGGAGTGCTCTAACGATAGCCACTTGCCTGTTTCCAGACAAATATAAAGAAATCACACTATCACTCTTGAATTCCATCACCAATAACTTTTTTTCAGGAAAATTCTCACCGAAATGCTTTTGTACGCTTATGAACAATATAATGAGCTGTCACTGGAATACTTTTAACAGCTGTCGGACGAGTTGCTGAGAAATGACAGCAGTCTGAAGCTGGTTGCAGTTTTTTCATCTCACCCTGTATATCTGCGAACGCCTTCTGGTACCTCACCCACAAAGGCTGACAATTTTTAGCACATTTATCTATCAAACTTGCGAAACAAGTCAGCGATTCTTTACTACTTTGCTACATCTAAATATTTCTCCTCGCCGGAATCCTGAGATGAATATGAAATTTATGATTTCGCATAAAATTGGATATAAATGTTCGATTTTCTTGTAATTTTACCCATGCCAATATTTTTATCTTTATTAGATGAAGTATGAAAATGGAATACTTCGGTCGACTATATCCGGTACCTCAGGCCCTTTTTTCAATTTCTAAAAATTATCACATATCTCGTATAAAATAAAGGAAGTAACCAATATAGTCCGAGCCTGGCACAATATTTTTTTATACCCTCCACCAAAAAAGGTATGGAGGGTATATTAACTTTGTCATTCCGTTTGTAACTCATCGAAATAATCATTTTAGACCCAACAAAGTATATATATTCTTGATCAGCGTAAAATTCTAAGACGATTTAGCCCTGTCCGTCCGTCTGTCCGTCTGTCCGTCTGTTGTAATCACGCTACAGTCTAAACGAATTAAGATAGGAAGCTAAAATTTTGCACAGATCTCTCTTTTGTCTGCAGGCAGGTCAAGTTCGAAGATGGGCTATATCGGTCCACGATATCGTATAGCCCCCATATAACGGTACCCCCCGATATTCGGTATTTTGATGATTTTGCCCACACTTTTTAACGGAATTGTCTGAAAATCCACACAAGGAGTTCCTTGTGGGTACTTTATACCTCAGCAGAGAATTATCTATATAGGTCCACAATATCGTATAGCCCCCATATAACGGTACCCCCCGATATTCGGTATTTTGATGATTTTACCCACACTTTTTAACGGAATTGTCTGAAAATCCACACAAGGAGTTCCTTGTGGGTACTTTATACCTCGGCAGAGAATTATCTATATAGGTTCACAATATCGTAAAGCCCCCCTATATAACGGTACCCCCCGATATTCGGTATTTTGATGATTGTAGCCACATTTTTCAACGGAATTGTCTGAAAATCCACACAAGGAGTTCCTTGTGCGTACTTTATACCTCGGCAGAGAATTGTCCATATAGGTCCACGATATCGTATAGCCCCCATGTAACGGTACCCCCCGATATTCGGTATTTTGATGATTTTACCCACATTTTTCAACGGAATTGTCTGAAAATCCACACAAGGAGTTCCTTGTGGGTACTTTATACCTCGGCAGAGAATTGTTTATATAGGTCCACAATATCGTATAGCCCCCATATAACGGTACCCCCCGATGTTCGGTATTTTGATGATTTTACCCACATTTTTGAACGGAATTATCTTAAAATCCACACAAGAAGTTCCTTGTGGGTACTTAATACCTCGGCAGAGAATTAACTATATAGGTTTACAATATCGTATAGCCCCCATATAACGGTACCCCCCGATATTCGATATTTTGATGATTTTACCCACATTTTTCAACGGAATTGTCTGAAAATCCACACAAGGAGTTCCTTGTGGGTACTTTATATCTCGGCAGAGAATTGTCCATATAGGTCCACGATATCGTATAGCCCCCATGTAACGGAACCCCCCCGATATTCGGTATTTT